GAAGCAAAAACTTACCTGTGGATGCAGCGGAGCTACAGTTGGAGTCACAGCAGGTGCACACTGAGGCTGGTCCATACAGCTCAACCCATCTGAGAATGAATGTGATGAGTTGATCCCTTTAGTTTCAAGAACTGCACAGCACATTTAAACTTCTTATTTCTCATTTAATTTATTTATGGAAAAAAAAAACTTACCTTTTTGTTTTTGTGTCGTAATTGCAGGACTTGGCTGTCGGTGTGGGGACAGAACGCCCCACAGACATGGAGCAGTGCATGTAGAGCTGCTGCAGGAGATCAGATCACAACATTTCCCATCAATGAAACCTTAACAGTCTTTTAGTACTGTATTCAAAACAGACACCAGACAATATGAAGCAAAAAATTATAATAACTTTTAGCATCTATGCTCACCTGGCCTGTCAATCCGTTGAACAAGAAGGCATCCACAGAGAATCTCACAGCGCTGTTTTTGTATGGGATGAATCTGGAGCGACCATCCCTGCTTTCAACCATACACCTTTATCAGAGGGGGAGAAAACCTGACCATAAATGATGCTGTTTTTATACACAGTCTTTTCTTTTTAAATAAAATAAAGTGACATCTCAACGTCTTCAGTTTGTGTGAGAGTGAGGTGTTTATTACCCAAAGTTTTTCACGACTGTAAACTGCGGCGTGGAAGTGTGGGACTTCTCAGGAGTTACGTAACACAAGTGGACGTAGAGTCTTTCATTCTGAGACATGGCCGGAGCCTGTGCCTCAAAGTACATGGGTTTCCCGAGCACGTATTGATCTGACGGGGAAAGCCTTTCCCATTGAGCTGAAGACAGAAGGAAGCAGTCAGACAATGAGAACAGCAGCAGCATTCGTCTTCACTTATGCACTCAAAAGAAGTCCAGGGGTCGTATTCACAAAGCTTCCTAGTACAAAGAGTTGCTCCTTGTGATGAAATTCTACATAAATTCTTAGAATTTAGGATGTTTTCCTAGAATTCATCTTAAAGTTAAGACTAGGTCCTTGTAAAGATAAAAGTTATTCAAAGAGCATCTTAGACCTTAGAAGAGCTCCTAAGGTGAAAAACTGTTGGAAGTAATGAGGAGGACTTTCAAGAGGCTTAAGGGTTTCTTTGGCAGAGGAGAAAATGGTGGAAACAGGTCAGAGGAATATGCTCCGAACTCTGGATGACAGTAAGTAAATAAAATGCTACAGATCAGATTGTGCAGGGATAATATGTGCGTTTAATTTCACATTGCCCACCTAACGCTATTAAAAAAGTTTTGATCATAATAATACGATATTTGAGAAACTGGAAAAATGCAACAGTGATGACTTGAGTCTGTCTCAACCTTCCATCAGCAAAATGACAACACTTTCAGTCTCATAATTTGATGCAGTTCATTTCATTTCCACTGGGTGTCCTCACCTTGCAGGATCACAAAAGGGCGTGTCTGTGACAACCAGTCACATCTGTTAAAAGAATGCATCATACCTTGCAACAGGGGTCAGCCACACCTCATCACTAAGATTAAATTTCTGTCCTTTCTTTGCTCATAGTTGCTTTGAGAACTTTCCTAAACCACCCCAAGCAAGGACTCCTCACTAAAAATTCTTTAATTCTCAGAATGTTTGTGTATATGGACTCAGGTTTCCAAAATTCAAATGCAAGGACTGAGCGATTTTTAAAAAGTCTAAAAGGCCAGGTGAGAATTGCTTTAAACCCAAAATTTGTATTTAATTTTGTAATGAGTTTCTTTACTGTTTGATAGAGCACATTTTGGAGTTGACACGTTTACTGAAAGTTTAGTTTCAGTGGATTTACTAAAGAAAAGCAAAACCATATTTTATTTTGTTAAGGATGAAAAGATCTAAATAACAATCATAAAAATATATTTTTCTTTTTGGGACCATTAAAGTGCTATAGCCACCAATCCACTTTCCAAAACATCTGAATGTATTCTAGAATTCTAAAGCTTTTCGAGACCTTTGAGAGTCCGTAGAAATCAGCTGATAAAAACATACATTTTTGCAGGTTTTACCATTTCGTGGACTCAGAATGAACTTTGCACTGTTCACCATTGTTGTGAAGATCTTGCGCATCCTCATCTTTGGTGTGTAGCCAATTTTGTAGGAGTACTGGTACCTGAACAGTTAAACACATTGTTCAGGTAAATACAGCTGTTTCTATGTTGTAAGGTTGACAGAAGTTGGTACAGAATGCTTTCTGGTCTGGCTCCAGCCTCACCTGTTATAATAACATGCAACAGGCAGGGTGAAGGGCACAGCTCGCCTGATTGGTCCTCGGAGCCTTGGTGGGTCGTATTGTAGCGTGTTTGAATAGGCCACCTGGTTATTAATTATCTGCAGAAAAAAAGGAAACAATTGAAACCAAATCAACAAAACAATCAGCTAAAGGATTAATATTACTTTAACATGACTAAGAGTTAACAGCAATGCTAGCAGCTCTGTAAGGTCAGACAAAAGTCCCGTTTCCACCGAGCAGTACGGTACAGTTAGGTTCAGCTTTTTTCCGTTTCCACTGTGAAAAGTTGTGGATGGTACCAATGGAGCTGTTCCGTACCGTCCCCATTTTTGGTCCCCCCTCTGTTGGGGTACCTAGCACATAGATCTGGTACTAAAGGTGGAGCTGTGAACACTGCAGTCTGATTGGTCAGTAGAGGACGGTCACTCTGCTCAGGGCTGAGATGTGTCTGGTTTGAGGCTCATGTGACCACTGTTCATACTGTGGAGAGTTTTATTAGTAAACTGTAACTATAAAATGAAAGGATGTTTTGCTGCCTCTCACAGCAGCTGGAGTGGAAGAAAATAATTTAAATAACACTGGGGCGACTGCCGGCGACTTTTAAGGTGGAGCATGAACTTGTAATGTTACTCAATACAGAGCTGACAACGTGAATCCATCAGCACCCCTTAAATTTCACTGTGACAACTTTGATCTTTCCATTAGTTTTTATATGACAAACACTTTAGTAATGAGTGGATCTTCAAGCATTTGAAAATATTCATTTTGACTGGGTTATGTGAACAGCAATTATTCTAATCCTCATTTGGAGAAAAGAAAAGCGTTGCAGAGCGTCGCTCCTGTGGGCTCCAGCAACACTAAACCCCTGAGCTTGCCTGAGAAGGACTAAATGCACAAAGCTGCTATTTTTAAATATCCCATGGAGAGAGACCTCACTGCAGCCTGTTCTATTTTGTTCTGAAAATGTTGGCATGCAGCCTCGTTCTGTGGACCATAAACGAGGCACAGACTTCCATCTGTGTCACCGGTGATGAGGAAATACAGTGAGTGCTGGACGGAGCAGTGAGTGACAACAACTCCGCAGCGGTGCTTTAAGCTAAATGCTAACATCAGCATGCCAACATGCTGACAATGATAATGCTGACATGCAGATGTTTACCATGTTCATCATCTCAGATTAGCCTGTTAGCATGCTAACATGTGCCACATTGAAAAGTACAGCTGAGGCTGCTGAGAGTGTCATTGGTTTTAGGGTCATAAACCAAATATCGGACAAAGTTCAACTTTGACCTGATGGTAATAGATGAAAAGTCAAGGGTTTAACAAAGTTATTACAATTTATCCTCAGGGGAAATTAATGTGTACCAAAATTAAAAGCAGATCCATCCAGTAGTTGCTGAGATTAGGGCTGCAATTTTCTGTTTAATTTCTTGCTGAATAGCCTAACTATTTGGTCAAGAAAACATTAGAAAAAGAGCAAAACATCTACATGTCTTGTTTTGCCAACCCACTAAATTCCATACACTGTCATATGCAACTTCGTTTGAGAAACTGGAATTGTGAATATTTTAGCATTTTTGCCTGCAAAATGACTTAACCGATTAGTTGATTGTCAAAATAGTTGCTGATTAATTCCCTGATGATCAGTTAATTGTTTAATGGAGTAATTGTTGCAGTTCTAGTTGACACTCAAAACCCTAAATGTTAGCATCATGATGGCTCTAGAGTAAAAGTCAGGGAATCACCAAAGTAAGTAGAACCATGAACATCTGTACCAAATTTGATGGCAATCCATCACATAGATGTTGGGATATTTCATAGGATAAGTAAAAATTTCAGCCTGCTGGTGGCACTGAAGGAAAGGTCAGGGGATCATCAAAGTCAGTAGGATTCATCTTCTGGGAACCATAAACGTCCATACCAAATCTGGTGCCAATCCATCACATAGATGTGGGGATATTGCAGTTTGGACCAAGGTGGTGAATCAACCAATTGACCAAGATTGCAACCCTTAGCGGGCCACATATGGTGCCTAGTGGCCCACCGACCATTTTCTTATTCACAATCAAAATAATTCCATTCACACAGACAATTGTTTTGTACTTTGAATGTAAAAGGTGCAAGAGTGCAAAAAAACAACATTGAAATAGAGCTTGTTTATAAATTCAAAATAAAAAAGCCTGAGGAGAATCCCATGGACCGCCAACAAATGTCCCAGCTAAGCCACAAATGTTCCCAAATCCTAGAAACACCCCTGTGCACACCTGGGTTTGCCTCCTTTATTCATTCTATCTGATAGATATTATACATGTTTGTTTATTAACTGGCCCCTCATTTTGAAAAAAAGCCCGGGCAAAGCAAGTAAGAGCCACGCTGTTAGCATGGCGGCAAATATCAGGCTATCGTTAAAACTCACCGTGCGTTCGGTTCCACACAGGCCAAGGTCATACTCAAAATAAAGGTAGTCCCTCGTGGATCTACTGGTTTGGCAGGTCCCCAGTTTGAGGTGAGAATCTGGTTCACCGGGGCCCAGCACGCCCCTCTGCACCTGCACGAGCATCTTGTTGAGCCTGCACGAAGTCCTCACGGAAACACCCGAAGTGCTTGGCGGGCTGGTGCTGGCCCGAATCGGCAGCAGGATCTCCCGGACGGGCTCGGGTAAAGGCTCCTGTCCGGTACCTTTGGATGGAGAGAAATGCTCTTTCTCCACCAGCGGCAGCCTCGAGTCCACAAACACGGGGAGGCGCAGGTACGGCGGCCGTAGAATCGGTGTTTCTCTCCGGGAAACCTTTCTCATCACCTGGGTCATTTGGTTAAAAGCCTCAGACGGTCCTCCATCAGCAGAGGACAATAGCGGCAGTACGAACAACAGTGACAGGTAAACCATACCCGGAAGTTTTAGGGTTTAATTTAAGTTTTAGACTTCAAAATTAAACCTTAACTTACGAGTATTATCACTGATAATGTTCTCCTTAGTTTGAGCCAAATTAACAACACCTGGCCGCGAGGAGCTGGCAAAAGGAAACAAAATTCTCAAAAGCACAAGTGGAACTAATGGCTCCTCTCCATTTAGGGGAGCCAATTTCCGGTGAGCTCACCGGAACATTTAAAAGGGGCACCGCTGTAATTAATGTTATTATATGCGATGAAAAGTCAAAATACCCGTGTGAAAAATGTGAAAAAATAGTGTCAATCTTTATTAAAAAAAAAAACCATTTAAACTGTGATTCATCTGTTGATTGTTTTATCGATTAATTGATTCCTTGTTTGGTCTATAAAATGTCAGGAAATTGTGAAATATGAAGATCACTCTTTCCAGAAATTTCTTGTTTTGTCCACAACCCAAAAAAAAGTCAGTTTGTTGTCACAGTAAATAAAAACTAAATAAACCAGAAAATATTCACATTTAAGAAGCTGGAATGAGAGAGTTTTTATTTAAAAAAACAAAACAAAAAAAGACTCAGACCGATTAATCAATTATCAGATTTCTTTGCAATTAATTTACAAACTTTAAAAATTAATGTTTTATTGTGTAAATCCGGAGGAAGTTAATTTTAACCCATCACACTTTTCAAAAGGGATACATTTAGAGCCACAAGGTCTGATTTTGTAGTTGTCATCATTCACATATTCATTTATTTTTGTTCTGGTTAATTGGATTATTTAAAAAAGTTACAGTAAATATAACAATACATTCTACTTGATCAAATAAAAACATTGGGTCCAAAAAATATTTCTTATACAATTTTGTCAACACATAAATAAAATTACTAATACACAACATAATGTTCACATTTTTAGGCAAGAACTGTCTGTGCCTTTTAAATAATGAACAAAGATCATTTGTGTTGTGCTGCAATTTTACACGGATCAGATGAGTACGAGGATATAATAATACATGTCTTTCATTCTTCATGCCAGTGTGCACAAACATTGCTCAGGTGTTGTATGTGTGCAAGTAATTCTCAAATGATCTGTAATACAAGGACTACTGTTTGTATACAGTGGGTGAACAATTGATTCATTAATTAATTCACAATTTGATGTGTGTTTACTTTCAGTTCATTCACTTGTACTTTTTAAAACAATCTCTTCCTAACCAGCACTGATATGTTAATCATCCAAAATGCTCATGAGCAAATGTAATCATAATCCCAAATAAACTTAACAAATTGCCAATATAAATAGGCTACCGCTACCAGCTCTAGTTCTTGGAAAACAAGAATGTAATGGGATTGTTAAATCGTTAATCATTTATGTTGTGCTGCATGTGTACTTTATGTCGACAGTAGTAGCTTTCATTTATTGCACATTAGTACACTGTATAACTGTGCTTGCTTATGAAAAATCATGTAGTAGGAAATCACTTTTCAAATTTTGGAGTTTATTTTCTTTGGGGATGGGGACTGGGGGACCCCAGAACTCTAGACCCCCTGACAGATTTGGTCCCTCACCCCAGTGTTGACGCCATGGCTGCAGCCTTGGTGTCATTTACCTGTAACAACTTAGCCTGTTCTTTACCTTTTTATTACTGCCTGTGCTAATTGAAGCTCTGCTCATAGTACAGAGGTCAGGTCAAGTTGGTGGAGGTCTTCAGTCCAAGCACAGCTTTCACTGTGGCCATGTTGAGGGTCTCAGTAATAGTTCACAGTCTTAGGTGAAACTGTTTAACTTTGGTCACATGTGTAACGCTAAAATTGTGTGTGATTTCATTTGGTAAAATCACTGATTTACACCAACCATATTTACATTGAATTCTGCTACATGCTCTTTTGGTGGAGTGTGTTTCCTTTTCGTAGTGGAGGGTCTAAGGAAAGAAGGTAAATATGACACATTGGGCCTCAATGCAGCAACATTTTCTTAAATTTCTCTTATATTTTTTCTTAATTTTCTATTAAGAGAAGTCAGCTGTCCAAATCTGTTCTTTCCTAGGTGTGCCACTTGAGCATGAGTTACCCTTTCAGCATACGTAACGCCCCTAAACACTTCATAACGGCATGTGATGTGCCGTGTGCAAATACTGTGTCATATGCCCAAGAGTTGGAGAGATGCCTCAAACCAAAATGCTGTAAGACAAAGAAGAACTTCAGCAGTAGCAAAATCAGGGTATTGATAAACTTAAACAACTTAAACATGATTTTCCAGAGTGTCAGTACCATGGAAAACCCAGCTATGGCATAACATTTGCAAAGCTGTATGATTTGTTAGCAGCAGTGGTGGAGGAGGTATTTACATGCTTTACTTAGAAGAAGTACTTAAGTAGAAGTGCTAATAACTTACCTGAAAAAATCCTGCATTGAAAATGTTACTTAAGTAAAAGTCAGTAAAAATCAGGAAAATGTATTCAAGTATTAAAAGTACTTAATGCAGAAGATTTTAAATCAATTTAATCAATCAAAATAATTAAAAGGAAAAGCCGCAAGTGCTCATGTTTGAAAAGCTGGAACCATGAAATGTTTTTGCATGAAAAATGACTTAAAAGATTACCAGAATAGTTGCCAATTAATTTTCTAATCGATCGACTAATTGTTTTAGCTGCACTTGTACATTTTCATGTAGTTTGAGTGCAAAAATCTTATTATCTAAAGTAACTAAAGTTATCAAATAATTGTATTGGAGTAAAAAGTATAATATGTTCATCTGAAGTGCCGTGAAGTAGAGGGAGGAAGCTGCATGAGATTATAATACTCAAGTAAAGTAAAAGCCCCTCAAATTTGTACTTAAGTACAGTATTGAGTAAATGTAATTAGTTACATTCTAGCACTGGTCAGCAGAGGAGTGCACAGTAACTGAAATCACAGTTTAATAATCTAATCATTATAGTTATTCTAAGATTTAATCTAAATTTGATTTTGTGATGTTTGTGCATTTTTTAAATGTTCCTCATATATAAAACTTATGTTTCCTTGTGTTGGACAAACAAATTGAGAACTGTGGAGAACAAGATGTTTTTTTTTTCTTATCTAGGTAAGAGTGCTCTCGACCACAGAACAGCAAAATTAAGAAAATATTGGTGAATCCCATAGGTCAATGGGTAGAAATAAAGTAAGAACAAATTAGGGATACAAATAAAAATAAGAGAAAATGTGTTCAGATATCGCTTCCTGCATGAGGCCCGTTGTGTACATATTTACATACAACACTGTAGAGCCCTCTGAGACTAACTTGACTGAAAAGTGGGTAGAGGTAGTTTATTTTGTCACAGTTTGTATAAAAATACTAAATCATGGGAACATAAGCGACAGATGTTACACTCACTTACATTCTCCACTTCAAAAACAGCTCTGCAAGTAGTAGGGCAGATCTTTAGATGTCATTAGCAATAATTAGAGAAAAATATTATTTTTCTATCTCACAGATATGGTTATGGTTTAGCACAGATTAGTGCGCAGTTACTAAAAAGACGCTGAGTACAATGTCAGTCCGTTAAGATGGCAGAAAAGGCAAATTCATCTGTGTTTAACTAGTTCTCTTCCACATATTTTTCTGTTCACCAAAGGGCATATGAAATAAGAAGTGTTAGTATTGTGCCAGTCCAGCAGGAGGTAGCAGGTATTGCAGCTCCGTTGCACAGGTGTGTGTTGCAGCAGTCATTGGTGAAGGTGAAGTTGAGTCCCATGGCCTGTTTTTCACCGGTGATTCCACAAAAGGAGGGCAGGATGCAGCTCTTCTCGTACAACACCACACGGAAGCCTCCTGAAAATCACCAGTTTGTTAGAAACATCATTTTGGGAGAGACTCGCACAACGGCACGCTGAAAAGAAACCACACTTCTCCCCGCCTGTTTCCGTTCTCAGTTCTTTTTCTCAGTTTTGATATATTTAAATGTTGTTAAGTGACTTAAAGCACCCTCACCTCTCTGGCCCACAGCTCTGCTGGACAGACAGACCTGCCCGGGTGGACACTTGAGAGGGTATCTGATGCAGTCCAAAGGTGAGATGGCGGGGAACACACAGGTGTAACAGAAGAGGGGAACTGAAGGACAGGCATGTTGGTTAACACAAAAAATGGCTTTAAAGAGTTTAATTTTGCAGAGGAGCTGCCGTGACATCTTGATTATGACCTAAAATAGGATGTGAGGAACAGATGCTTTGAATTTAAATAGCTCAAAAACTAGCTAAAAAGAAAGAAAAGAGAAAATGAATTAATGAATAAGCTGAAATGTATCAAACAGAAACCTTCATTGTTGATTCAGAGGCAACTAGTTTGATAATCCATTAATTGCTTGAGTTTTCAGGCCAAAATACCCCAAAAAAGTCTGGTCCCAGCTTCTCAAATGTGAGGATTTGCTGGGTTTTCTTGTCTTACATCACAGTAAGTTGAACATCTTCGATTTTTTGACTGTTAGTCAGACAAAACAAGACGTATAAAGACGTCACCTTGGGCTCTGGGAAACTGTGATGTTCAATCATGACTATTTTCTATCACCACACAGTTAATCAGTTATTGAATAGAACTGGTAGACGAATCAATAATAAAAATAATCATTAGTTTTAGCCTTACTATTAGTTATTGCTGCAAATAAGTATTTCTGTTAGCAATATCAGGCATGTTTTGTACATTCATCCACACTAACAAACACACAAACACACACTCGTGTTTAGTTCACTTACCCACAGCTGGAAGTAAACAAAGGAGAAGCAGAGGACAAACCAGCTTCGACATCACTGACTTTTTCTGTCTTGCAGGGAGAATATATTCTTGCAGCTCAGTTCTTCAACTCTTATCGTTGTCTCTTCTTTGTTATTCACTGGAACAAACCAGCTGTCTTCATCTTGAACACAAGAAACCTGCTGAAGTCTCCGTCTTTATGAGTCAGTTTCCGGCCAGCGTTATTTGGGCTTTCTCAGCTTCCTCAGCCGGCTCAGCTGCAGAGATCTGAAGGTAAAATCTCCTCTGGCTCCTCTTGATATTCTGTCACTTAGCTCCAGGAATCTCCACACCCCAATACTTATAATTCAGTTACGCTGTTAGCCTCCCAGTGACAGCCATGACTTGACATTACTGCCTGGGCTCACTGTCCTGCTGAGAATAGCCCCATTCAGATGAAAGAGAATCAATGGGGCTTTGTGAGGGAACTACACTCTCGTTTAGGTTAAAATCTATATAAAATGTCCATGTATGTCATGTTTTTTTTTCACAGAATGACAAGACATGTGATGTCTACTATGGTAAAACAGGGCAGGTTTATTAAATCATGTCTTATTTCTTAATGGAAGACGTTAGGTTTGGTAGGAGGGCTGTCAAGTGACCTGCAGTCCCATGACTAGATATCTGCAAGAAAAGATGTTAAATTCACAGGTCTTTAAAGTTGTTTTGGCTCACAAAAAAAGCAGTTATATCTTGAAATGAATTCCAGTACTTTAATTTAATAAGTAAATAAATGGTTTTCACTGAGAAATGTGATAATCTTGTTAGATAAGATAAACACATTAGATATTACCCCATCTCTTTTTTTCTGTTTTTCAGCTGTACAGAAGGTCATTGTTCCTATCAGGGTCATGTTTAATTGCAGTAGAGATAACCGAATTAGACCACGATGAAATAGTTACAGCAAATAAAATCTTGGCATTTTTTTGGACACCAAATAAAACAGGTGGCTAGGATGTGCTGCAGCAAGACAATTTTGTCTGTCACATATAAAGACATGATATTAAAAGCGATGTTTAAATGTGCCAAGTATGTAGGAAAACTATGGCGGCCAATGTGAAAACGTGAATGGCCCCATCTAGAGCCACTGTTTGGTTTGTCCATTCTTAGCTCCACTGTGCAGTCACAGCAGTGTGGAGATAGGTCTGGAATCATTGCTTATCTTTGTACCATAAAGAAAAAACCCTCTGGCTTGTTTGTGCATCCTTAAACCAATCACAACCATCTTGGGTGGTGCTAAGCCCAGGATGCAGCAACTGTGCCCTTGCAAAATAGTGTCGGGAGTGAACTTGTTTACGTGGGTAGGTGAGCACTGTCATTAAATGGGAACTAATGTTTTTTCAACCTGGGCCCTATTTTCCGATCTGCTTTTGTCTAAATGAGTGACAGGATGTTCAATATTTGACATCTCTCCAGTACGAAGCTAGGGCTGACCTGCCTGCAGCCCGTGAGCGCGTGCTATATTAAATAATAGGGCACTCAGACAGCGTCAAACAACGTCAAAATACATCCACTAAAAGTGCATTTTTTCACACAGATAGGCTCGGATTGTTAGTATAATTATCCAACAACATAACAAAGGAAAATGAACATCTGTGTTTACCTTTAGCTGGATTCGGACATTCCTCTGCCTGTTGCTGCTCCCTCTCTCTCCTCATCCACTCCTCAATTTCAATGAATTCTGCGTCCGTGTACGTTTGCTTATTCTGTGTTCAAATAAATACGAGCGGTCAACAAATTCAAATGGCTCATCCAGATCCAGTTGGTCAAAATCGGGTAAAAATTCATGACTACTCCAAACAGAGTAACTCCTGGCGTTTGTAAGGTCACTCCAACGGTAACTTCTTGCAACAACTCAAATCTCGCAAGACGTGAGATTTGAGAGCCGGACTTTCACTCTCTCAGTGAGTGTTTTGACTTGCCACAACAAACATGTCCGAATTTTTACCTGATTTTGAACAACTGGATCTGGATGAGCCATTTGAATTTGTTGACCGGCTGTATTTATTTGAACACGGAATACACGGACATACGCGGATGCAGAGCTCATTGAAACTGAAGAGTGGACGAGGAGAGAGAGGGAGCAGCAACAGGCAGAGGAATGTCCGAATCCAGCTAAAGGTAAACACAGACGTTCATTTCTCCTTTCCGTTATGTTGTTGGATAATTATACTAACAATCCAAGCCTATCTGTGGGGAAAAAAATGCACTTTAAATGGACGTATTTTGACGTTGTTTGACGCTGTCTGAGTGCCCTAATATTTAATATAGTGCGTGCTCACGGGCTGCAGGCAGGTCAGCCCTAGCTTCGTACTGGAGAAATGTCAAATATTGAACATCCTATCAATTATTTTGACAAAAGTAGATCGGAAAATAGGGCCCAGGTTGAAAAAACATTAGTTCCCCTTTAAAATGGCTCAACAAAAGAGAACACCACAAAAAACACTGACAGTCGCATGTCACTGTGTGATTCAGCTTTTAGTGATAAAAAAGACAAACATCATTTGATAATCAGAGCCCTAGAGGTGAAGCATGACTATACTTTAGGGCTGGATGAGCTCACTAACCCCGCTGAAACCACAGACTATTTGCTGACTGCTCGTATGAAGTGGAACGGATCAGTACGTGTGTGAAGTCATTGGCACTGGTGCATGCCGCTGCCACAGTTAAAAGATGTGCCAAATCAACCCCGACTGGCCGTCTCAAAAAACAGATCCAGCTCGAGAGTCGTGCAAGATTTAATCTGGACTTTCCCAGGATGCGTTACCAAGTTGTTTTATTCGTTTTATATCTTTACAACAATTTAGTGAAGGAACAAAACAGGCATGCCTTCCTGCAGGATCCAAATCTTAGTCAAAACACGGCAGTTTCAGCGTGTACGTTGTTAGCTCAGAGGTTGTTTGTTGTCGTTTACATCTGGTGAGTCAGACTATGTTGATATAAACGGCTCATTCTAAAGTAACAAAAACACAATGGTTCTTATGGTGATTATAAACTAATAAAAACATAGTTATGAATATTATATAGCATTTCTGACAGTAGATACCCCTGAATCGTACACACCTGGACCTTTAACATATCTGAGACAAATCCTTAGAATTTCCTAATGAACTTGACCTTGTGCACTGGGGGTATCTGAAACAGGAAAGGGCATTCCCAAAACTGTTGCTACAAAGCTGGCAGCACTCTTCGCTTAAATTGCTTTGCTGTAGCATTAAAAATGTTTTTTAATTTAACAAATGGACTTTACCCAAACCATGACAAACTAAGACTAAAAGTTCTCAAGACTATGAGACCAAGGGTTTCCATATACTTTTGACCACAAACTGTTGCTTTAATCCTATTTTATTAATCTTTAACCGATACATTTTGTACATGGCCACTCCCTTTTTCTCAGAACACACTTAAAGCTATCATCCCTGTCTACTTGCATGCTTGCTGCAGCCCTACTGAACACAAGACAGGGGAAGTTGGCCTCTGCACGCCCCCTGCTGGAGGACAGAGGGCATGGCTCGCTTGTCGACCTGCTGACGCCTCATGCGGATGACAGCTGCATCCACCTGAGCTGCTGCCCTCTTGCCGTGCTGGTCATCCAGCAGCTGCAGACAGGCGCGCTGCAGCCTCGCCAGCTCATCCTCAGAGGACATCAGACACCGCCTCAGCACTGCGCTGCCCTGAGAGACACACAGGAAACACATTTAACCTGGTTTGGTTTGTTTGAGACAAACCACTGAAGGCTTTTTTTAATATAAGGTGTGAACATCTGCCAGCATATTTGAATATGACGAGATCCTGGTGTGTCTGTCTTTACTGTCACACATGAGGAGAAAAGATTCTACTATATGGAAGACAAAAAGTTTACGCCACACCGTGTGTGTTTGCTGTTATTCCCAGTATTCAGGTCAGTGTATGTTTATGAGGCTATTATCTTCAGTCTTTAACCTCTTGTAACAATGGTTCTCAAACTTCTATTAACAATAAACCCTCTGACCACTGCAAAACATTTTTGGTAGAGAAACAGTGAACAAACATAAATGTGGATGTGATTGTGTTTGTTGCAGCAGTTAAAAGTTTACAGTGATTGGATTAACAAAATAAATATTTAATATAAAATGTGGTTTATCAAACTAACATTTACATTTTTATACAACTTATTATGTATAATTATTTTAGGAATCATGCATGACTGATATTTCTTAAATTAACATTTTATTAAAAATCTCATGTACTCCTTGCAGTACTCCAAAATACCCCTAGGGGGACCTGTACCCCCATTTGAGAAACACTGCTTTACAATATACAGTCAGGTCCATAATTATTTGGACAATGATACAGTTGTCGTCATTTTGGCTCTGTACACCACCACAATGGGTTTTAAATGAAACAATGAATACCTGCTTAAAGTGCAGACTCTCAGCTTTTATTTAAGGCTTTTTTCAAAAATGTAGTATGAACCGTGTAGGAATGACAACCATTTCTTCACACAGTCCCCCAACTTTAAGAGCTCATAAGTATTTGGACAAACTAACATAATCATCAATTAAACAAACAGTTTTAATACTTGGTTGCAAATCCTTTACAGTCAATGACTGCCTGAAGTGTTGGACACATAGGCATCATCAGATGCTGGGTTTCTTCCCTGGTGATGCTCTGCCAGCCCTTTACTGCAGCCGTCTGCACTTCCTGCTTGTGTTTTGGGTGTTTTGCCCTCAGTTTTGGCTTCAGCAAGAGAAACGCATGCTCAGTTGGATTCAGGTCAGATGATATGACTTGGCCATTGCAGAACATTCCACTTCTTTGCCTTAAAAATGTCTTTGGTTGCTTTTGCAATATGCTTCAGGTCAATGTCCATCTGCACTGTGAAGCATCGTCCAATGAGTTTTGAAGCATTTGGTTGAATCTGAGCAGATAATGGTGCCCCAAACACTTCAGCTTTCATCCTGCTGCTCTTGTCAGCAGTCACATCATCAATAAATACAAGAGAACCAGTTCCACTGGCAGCCATACATGGCCATGACATAACAGTACCTCCACCATGCTTCACTGATGAGGTGGTGTGCTTTGGATCATGAGCAGTTCCTTCCCTTCTTCCTTCTCTTGTCTTCCCATCATTCTGGTAGTTGATCTTTGTTTTATCTGTCCATAGTATGCTGTTCCACAACTGTACAGGCTTTTTAGATGGTTTTTGACAAACTCTAATCTGGCCTTCCATTTTTAAGGCTAACCAATGGTTTGCATCTTGTGATAAACCCTCTGTATTTATTCTAGTGAAGTCTTGTCTTGCTTACAAGAGCAGCAGGATGAAAGCTGAAGTGTTTGGGGCACCATTATCTGCTCAGATTCAACCAAATGCTTCAAAACTCATTGGACGATGCTTCACAGTGCAGATGGACATTGACCTGAAGCATACTGCAAAAGCAACCAAAGACATTTTTAAGGCAAAGAAGTGGAATGTTCTGCAATGGCCAAGTCATATCATCTGACCTGAATCCAACTGAGCATGCGTTTCTCTTGCTGAAGCCAAAACTGAGGGCAAAACACCCAAAACACAAGCAGGAAGTGCAGACGGCTGCAGTAAAGGGCTGGCAGAGCATCACCAGGGAAGAAACCCAGCATCTGATGATGCCTATGTGTCCAACACTTCAGGCAGTCATTGACTGTAAAGGATTTGCAACCAAGTATTAAAACTGACTGTTTAATTGATGATTATGTTAGTTTGTCCAAATACTTATGAGCCCTTAAAGTCGGGGGACTGTGTGAAGAAATGGTTGTAATTCCTACACGGTTCATACTACATTTTTGAAAAAAGCCTTAAATGAAAGCTGAGAGTCTGCACTTTAAGCAGGTATTCATTGTTTCATTTAAAACCCATTGTGGTGGTGTACAGAGCCAAAATGATGACAACTGTATCATTGTCCAAATAATTATGGACCTGACTGTATATTAATGCTGTATTAAGAGACCCAGTTTTGGTTTGGTTCAGGTCAGTCGTGCAGATTTTTGTCTGCAGAAGTGCGAGTGCAAGTTGACATATTTATTTCCTTTTTTCACAGAAAAGTTTATTTGTCAGTCTACACTTTATTTAGCAGTTTTCAAATGTCACTTTCTAATAAGGCATATTTACAAATAATAAATGGGAATTAATGGCTTTTTAAAAGCTTAATAAATAATTGTAGTTTATTACAAATAAATTAATCAAAATTATTTAGATATGTAAGAAGAATTTGTAGGTTGCTAGGTTGTAAAAAACAAACTGGGCTGCAGATGTAAATATTAAAGCTGCACTAATCAATACTATTTATTATCACTGGGTCAAAAAGCTGTATGAAAAGATAGAAAAAGGTGTCACTGGTCAACCTGGCGTCAAGCACACAGCCTGGTTAGTGGCCCTCGGCTTCTGTTACCGAGGCACTTGACAGTGTCTGTGGGAGATCAGTACCCCTGGGAGAGCCGATTAGCCTTGCAGCACATTTTTCCCAGTGGTCACTCATGGTACTGCAGCAAAAAAATCTCCTGTCACCCAAAAAGCATTTTCCCCCTAGACCACCACTGAAAGACAATTCCATGATTTAAAACTCCACCACGTCAGCACTAAAATCTATGAGCCAAGCTGGAACTTGTGGGCGGGGCCAGTGGGAGAAGCAGTACTGCGCATATTCAGTGGGCCGCATACTGTGGACGTAAACCCAGAAGCTAGAAAAGTTTTTGGTGTATGCGCCAGGCGAGCAACTCCATTGGAATAAATAGACACCATCTTAGCATCCTATATCTAATTATTATTAAAATCAATAAAAGGAAATGCACCAGGCTTTCAACTAACTCCAATATAATTCCATCCCTGAAAATAATGTATAAGAAAGTGCAAAAAAGTCAGAGTCGGGTGCCTCTCTGTGCACCGCGCTCATGTGTGCGCGCTTGTGCGATACCGTGAGATATGGGCACCACCTTCATGTGTGTTTATGTGCTTTCGCTGGTCTTGCGCAAGCACATACACGTGAGCACAGTGCACAGAGAGGCAGTTAGAGCTGCAGACTACAATGAGGCTAAAAACAGTTCAAATTACGTTTTTCCAAACAACTTTTTATGTCGGGGCTTCAGGACACTTGGATCACTACGGACGAGCAGTATGGATTAATTTTGTGGTTTCAATTATGTGTTTTTGGACGTTTGAATCTGGGGCGCCGCAAGCCTCCATTAGGTGAAGTTGTGTTGCTACCCACTCTTCCCTGGGCTCTCCGCAAGGGATGTGAGGACTCTAAAACTTCACCTGAGCCTCCCTCGGCATATGGGTGAGTAGATAATGGCTGAATTTTAATTTTTGGGTGCACTANATGTGAGGACTCTAAAACTTCACCTGAGCCTCCCTCGGCATATGGGTGAGTAGATAATGGCTGAATTTTAATTTTTGGGTGCACTATCCCTTTAACTAACTATACACTACCTGCTCTGCACCAAACAGCAGACAGACACAGTTAGCTACTGGCTGGTGAACACAGAGCCAGATGTTTCCTTCAGGAGTTGGTAGTGACCAAAACAGGCCAAGAACACAACTCCAGAGGCGCCGAGTAGCTCACCTGGTAGAGCAGGCGGCCCATGTACAAGAGGCACATCCTTGCAACAGTGGACGCAGGCTTGATTCTGACCTCCAGCCCTTTGCTGTGTGTCATCCAGCTGCTCTATTGTTAACCTTTACCCACTTAGTCATTTTATCCACGTTACTGATTGATTATTTATCAAAAACCTCACTGTGTTTACATTCTGTGAAAGCATCAATAGTCAGCATTACAATATTGTTGCAATATCAATATCAAGGTATTTGGTCAAAAATATTGTGATATTTGATTTTGCACTTATCACTCAGACCCAACACTGGTGTAGTGTTATTGATTTATATAATTGATTTATTAAAAATTAATAAAGCCATTAGTTACAATGCAGAACCCTTTAATGAAGTATGAAGAAGACGTTGTGGCCAAAGTTCCATCACCATAATATATGAGTGCATTTGAATGTACAGTCAGGTCCATAATTATTTGGACAATGATACAGTTGTCATCATTTTGGCTCTGTACACCACCACAATGGGTTTTAAATGAAACAATGAATACCTGCTTAAAGTGCAGACTCTCAGCTTTCATTTAAGGCTTTTTTCAAAAATGTAGTATGAACCGTGTAGGAATTACAACCATTTCTTCACACAGTCCCCCAACTTTAAGGGCTCATAAGTATTTGGACAAACTAACATAATCATCAATTAAACAGTCAGTTTTAATACTTGGTTGCAAATCCTTTACAGTCAATGACTGCCTGAAGTGTTGGACACATAGGCATCATCAGATGCTGGGTTTCTTCCCTGGTGATGCTCTGCCAGCCCTTTACTGCAGCCGTCTGCACTTCCTGCTTGTGTTTTGGGTGTTTTGCCCTCAGTTTTGGCTTCAGCAAGAGAAACGCATGCTCAGTTGGATTCAGGTCAGATGATATGACTTGGCCATTGCAGAACATTCCACTTCTTTGCCTTAAAAATGTCTTTGGTTGCTTTTGCAGTATGCTTCAGGTCAATGTCCATCTGCACTGTGAAGCATCGTCCAATGAGTTTTGAAGCATTTGGTTGAATCTGAGCAGATAATGGTGCCCCAAACACTTCAGCTTTCATCCTGCTGCTCTTGTCAGCAGTCACATCATCAATAAATACAAGAGAACCAGTTCCACTGGCAGCCATACATGGCCATGACATAACAGTACCTCCACCATGCTTCACTGATGAGGTGGTGTGCTTTGGATCATGAGCAGTTCCTTCCCTTCTTCCTTCTCTTGTCTTCCCATCATTCTGGTAGTTGATCTTTGTTTTATCTGTCCATAGTATGCTGTTCCACAACTGTACAGGCTTTTTAGATGGTTTTTGACAAACTCTAATCTGGCCTTCCATTTTTAAGGCTAACCAATGGTTTGCATCTTGTGATAAACCCTCTGTATTTATTCTAGTGAAGTCTTGTCTTGCTTACAAGAGCAGCAGGATGAAAGCTGAAGTGTTTGGGGCACCATTATCTGCTCAGATTCAACCAAATGCTTCAAAACTCATTGGACGATGCTTCACAGTGCAGATGGACATTGACCTGAAGCATACTGCAAAAGCAACCAAAGACATTTTTAAGGCAAAGAAGTGGAATGTTCTGCAATGGCCAAGTCATATCATCTGACCTGAATCCAATTGAGCATGCGTTTCTCTTGCTGAAGCCAAAACTGAGGGCAAAACACCCAAAACACAAGCAGGAAGTGCAGACGGCTGCAGTAAAGGGCTGGCAGAGCATCACCAGGGAAGAAACCCAGCATCTGATGATGCCTATGTGTCCAACACTTCAGGCAGTCATTGACTGTAAAGGATTTGCAACCAAGTATTAAAACTGACTGTTTAATTGATGATTATGTTAGTTTGTCCAAATACTTATGAGCCCTTAAAGTCGGGGGACTGTGTGAAGAAATGGTTGTAATTCCTACACGGTTCATACTACATTTTTGAAAAAAGCCTTAAATGAAAGCTGAGAGTCTGCACTTTAAGCAGGTATTCATTGTTTCATTTAAAACCCATTGTGGTGGTGTACAGAGCCAAAATGATGACAACTGTATCATTGTCCAAATAATTATGGACCTGACTGTATATATGGATAGATATAGTGGAAGCAGCAAACACCTGTATGAGATGAGCAGCCTCAGGTAACTGTGTCCCCGGGTGTCTGTGATAAACCTGCACCAGAGGCCTGTTGAGTTTCTCTCTGGACAGTATGTCACCGCTGTACTCTGGACCCTGTACACAGGATAAGACAGGGAGAACATCACCTTGTGCACATCGTCTCTGAACCTCAAATAAACTCACTGATCCTGTTTGACATACACACAAACTAACCTGCAGTCTGTCGTGGCTGTGACGAATACAGTTAATTTCCCTCTGCTTGCGAAACATGGCCTGCCTGGTGGCTGCAGACATCACAGTCAGGTTTTGCTGCAAAAGACAGAATGAAATGAAAACTGTGTTTTATTATTGTGATATCTAAGTGATGTCAGAGTATTTCTGTAATGCATGCAATGTTGTTTAACACATAGTTGTATTTGTGTCTACCTGCAGACTGACTGTCTCTGCCATTTTCTTCACCAGGCCATCATTGACTGCGCAGTGAATAGTTTTCTGCCTGGTGATAGCGCTGGTTAGCATCTGTACGATGTTCTCCCTCAGCAGCTGCGACTGATTGATGGTCAAATTGGACGACTCTAAAACCTGTTTACATTCTGCAACAAGACAAATCAGTGACGTAAGAAAATAAAATTGTGTCATTTAAACAAAATCTGGTGGACAACAGCAGCAGGTTTTTAACAAGTGGGGACCATCCTAATGTAACCCTTACTGCATCTCCTGTTACCATTTACGATAACATTTCACCTCTGAGTACACAGCGGGTCATTTGAAACCAAGAAGGTCAGCTGTGCAAGCTGAGAGCAGGAAAATTATTAAGGGAAGTGTAGGTTAGTAGCCTTTGTGGTAGTATGTTAGAGACATAATGTGATAATGATGTACACATATTTGAACTCTGTACATATACAGGAGTTACTCTGTCTATTTTAAGATGTAATAATGATAATAATGGACTGAATATATTTTTAGTACGTAAGGAATTAATTTTATTAAATGAAGTGAAGGCCCACAGTCTGGCACAGGTTTTAGCCATGCTTACGATGTAGCTCTAGGTCCACACTTTGTATGGATTGCCATGAAATTAATTGCAGATATTCATGTTCCCTTCAAGATGAATTACAATAATGCTGATGATCTTGTGACTTTTGATTTAATGCCATCATCAGGTGAAGTTGTCCAATAATTTGGTTTATGACCAATCGGCACATCTGAAAAGAATCTACTTAAATAGATTTGTGGTATAAAGTCTGGGTTATTTTTCCAATTATAGAGTTTTCCAGTAGCCTAACATCTACTTGAGATGTGTGTAATGATGCTCCCTCTTTTCTGTAATTTGTCTTTTCTCCTCGAGGGATTCATTTCCTGTTGGAACAGCACGTTCGCTTGCAGGGACCGTGTGATGGCCGTGCCCACAGCCACACAAAAGTTTGAATGATTCCCATACTCACCCACAGCATTACCACATGTTCAGTTACCTTTAATTTGCAGTCACTTAAACTACATATAGCACCAGTTCCTTTAGTTTAAAATTGTCTTTCATTCTGCCATTTTGCTTATGTTATGTTGCTATTTGCTTTCGTAAGTTATTAATTAATTTCTCTTTGTCTTTGAGTTACCTGAAGTCACTTCCTGGTTGGAGTTGGGACTGAGGGCGGAGCCTGGTTTTATGCAGAAGGCCATCCCAAGGACCAAAGTAAGAGCTGTGACATCATGGGGGGGATTAGGGGTTTCTTTGTGTCAGTCTGAGTTATTGTCTATGCAAGTTCTCTCTTTTGTGTTTAATGTGGTCTGATCAGCCAGTATATATGTTGCCCCATCGTGTCATTGCATTGGGTCTGTTTGCTGAGTTAAAGTCTAGGTTTGCTTGCCTTATTTTTCAGTAGCCTTATTTTTTACTGCTAGGTCCATGACAGACTGATACAGCTTTACATCCTGTCCGGACTGTACCTGGTGTAAAGGGGCTGACGGGGTCTGTTTTGCTGAGGGTCTGAGCAGCGCTGCTGTGTCCTCCAGCAGAGCCGCTGTGAGGCAGCAGCTCCAGGACACGAGCTCGCTCACTGGCACAGTCCAGCAGCTGTCTGCTGCTCTGACCCAGAGCCTGGAAGAGACGTGGAAAGCACACATTAGGGCTGCAACCAAGTATTATTTCCAGGACTGATTAATCTGCTGATTATATCCACCACAACTTCTATAAACCCCCAAGGTAACATCCTCGGATGTCTTCTTGTTCAACACCCAAGAAGGTTAAATTTACAATCTTGTTTTACTCAAACAATTAACTAGTATATTGATAGTTGCCAATTCATTTCCTTTGATCGTTTCAGCTGTTTGACTTATGCAGTTTGTTAAAGAGTTTTCTTGGCTTTATTGTAAGAGTTAATGACATTATCATAACAGGTCTTGGCAAGTATGCATCAGAAGTATAATGAAGTGATTTCACTTTGCATTTGTATAATTTGATCTCTGTCCAAAGCTGGAAACTGGTGGAGGTTATTGGTGCATGACAGCTTTGGCAGTGTTATTTTTCTTCCATCGCTCATGCCAGTAAATCACATGGAGGGGCAAGTGGAAAGGAGAGTGACAGTGACAGAGTGAGGGCAGGAGGCTTGAAAGGAAAATGAGTCAACCGATGAAGACAGAACAGTTACGCTGTAAATCACCTGCAGCTGGGTCAGTGTGTTTCTCAGCGCTCCCTCCAGATCCTGTTTCAACTGTGCCAGCTCTCTTCTCTCACACAACAACAGGTAATCAGCACCGTCTCTCTCCTGCAACAGAGCAGACCTGTCAGCAAACACATCACCTCTCTTTGACAAATGAAGTTTGCAGTACAGAACTTAATAAATTAATCCGTCTGGTGTATCACTTACACCACGTCTGGTGCTGGATTTAGCTGCAGTGGCAGAGAAAACATTTAAAAGATTTAAAAATGGTTTGATAATATCAGTACTGTGTCTGCGCAAGATTTAGAAGTGGAGTGGAATAGAAACTCTCTTTTTGGTGTTTTTTTCTCCACAAGAAGGTCAGAGGTCAGAACGAAACAAAACAGCAGCCCTGAAGCAAGAAATGACTCAGTGTTTCACTTATGGATCATCTGGTTATATGACTATATTTATCCCATGAAGAACAGAGCACAGTGTGGGGTGGAGAAGAGCAAAGAGCCAAGAATAAACCTACAGTCTCAGCAGTGGATGGCCTCCTGGTCCTCCCCTCCGAGCTCCTCCTGTTGACAGTGAGACTGGTCCTGAGGCTGCGCAGCATCCTCTCCAGGTGACCCCTCTCCCTCTCCAGCTTGATGCCCTCCTGGGTCACCCTGCAGGCCTGCCTGCGCAGCTGGCCCTCCACCTCCCGCACCCTCCGCATGTAGTCACCGGCCACAGCAACGCTGGCCCCGGCACACTGCTCACGCAAGCAGGTGGGTGGGAACGGGGCCACAGACGTCTTCTGGGACCCACTAGGGAACTTCGGAAGAAAATTAGAATGCAATTTCTACATGTCTGAGTCAGTGATAGAAAGTTACAGAGTACATTTACTCAAATACTGTGCTTAGGTACACTCTGAGGTACTAGTAGGTTACTTCACTTGAGTATTTTATACAACTTTAGTGTGTACTTCTACTCCACCACATCTCAGGGGGAAATACTGTAGCCTACATTTGTTTAATAGCTTTAATTAAAGATCCAGTGTGTCAGTTTTAGGGGGATATATTGGCAGAAATGGAATAGAATATATTTTCTCTAATGTGTAATCACAGGGGCCATGTGTGCTACAAAGCAGGAAATGTCTGTTGTCAGGTGCATGTCTACAAATAATTGGACTGCAATCATGAGGTGAAGAGAAAAAATGCAAAGTGGACTTGCAAGATTAACCATCATTGTGTGGTAGGTCACACTTTGAAAGACAAATCGCAGACTGCTGGCTGGACTCTGGACATGCCTGCTTTAGAATAAGCCATTTACATCTAACACTCTGAATGGAGCCATTCTGTATCAGGAATACTTTTACTTTTGATACTGTTGATTACATTTTGCTGATAATACTCAGTACTTAAGTAGACTTTAGTGCAATTTAATACTTCTTAATGAATCTGACCTCATCCTAATTCTCAAAAAAACAATCTATGTTTTTGGTGCAGTTTTTAATCTATGTGATGATGAATAGAGTGCAGGTGTTAACTTGTACTGCACATTGTTCCTTGTGAGTGTCATGCAGCCTTATCTATCTACACCACTGTGTTTTCTCACCAGCACTCCAGTAGTCTGGGGCCTCGACATCTTATTTTTGCAGATGCAGTCACGACTCTCTCCGCATTCCTCCCCTGTGATCTTATCATCTGTTGTTTCCGCTGTGCAGTCTGTGCGCTTTGGGGTGAAACCGGCGGTGGCGCTGCAGCTCAGGGGCCGGCTGCAAGTCCCGGACCGCCCGGCCCGAGTCTGCCGCACCAGGCGCTCCGCCCGCCGGATGGAGCGGACCGTCCCATCGCGCCAGGACTGCGGTCCTATAGTGACAGAGCCGAGGGGCACCGACTGGACCTGCATTCCTTCACATCCACTGACCTTAAAATGCTTACCATGAGCTGCCTGATAACTCCTCTGATGAGTGTGTCCACTGTGAGGCATGCAGGCTGAAAACTTTGTGTCAAGTGTTGAAGTCTGAGCTCCATGGCAACAGTTCCTGAAGTAACAAGAAACTCAAAGCTATTTGGTGATTGGACAGTGAGGAGAAGTCATGTCATTCAACACCGGCTTTTACACCATTGCTTCATCCGGCATCCCTGGTTCCGGAAGTTAAATCTCTATCCATTTTCTTACAGACAATGTCAGGTGACTCAGAGTTGAAGCACATCTACAGGTTGTATCGACATGAAACTCTCCCGGTTGAATCATCAGTACAAACATTTAATGTCTGCGTTAGAAAATATCTGCTTCTTTGTCGAGAACTCTAAGTTAAAGCACGCAAACATAAACATTTCACTCTAGTGATGTGACGTTCGCGAACGAGCCGAGTCTTTGAACCGGCTCTTTGAAGTGAACGAGTGAACCAGCTCTTTAGAGTGAACAAGCCAGTTCCTAATTCACGTTGTGTTGATGACCCCCTCGGTTAGAAACGAAAGGTAGGAAGCTAACCCACTATCAGCACTTGCTTGTATTGGCAGGCTTGTTATTTATAAAGGGCATTGCTATGGCTACACCAAACTTTATATGTGCAGGGTCTATTCTGGGTCCACGTTACAATATCCAGATCATGTGATGTGATAAATCAGCAATGCAATTCGTCGTTGAACCCACTAACACCCGCCCTCCACACACACACACAGCAATACCCCCCCCCAAAAAAAAACAAACTAAGGAACGAACTGCATCTTTGAACCAGCTCTTCAAAGTGAATGAGAGCCAAAGAACCGGAGAAAGAAAGGAGAAATCCCATCACTATTTCACTGGAGGAGTAAACTATGACTCCCAGGGTGCATTTCGGTAAGAAACATCCAATCACAGAGCTTCGAATCTGTTACTGTAAGTGCAGTGATTGTCTGATTTAGTTTGCCTGAGTGCAATCTTTACCGCGGTTATTTGCCAACATAATATTTATTAGTGGAGGTCCTTTACTTTGTATTTCTTATAATTGCCTGATTTTATTTTCCTAAATTCTGCATTGTTTTAAATCCTGCTTTTTTTTTTTTTTTGAAAAAGTACTTTATATACATAATGTTATTATTATTATTATTATTATTATTATTATTAACCACATAAACCCATGGACAGGTTATGAGACACCCCTGAACACAGATATGCAAAAGACCTACACAGGAAGAAACACAGACTTTGTCCTGGTATTGCCTCTTTTTTGGTTGTTGTTATACATCTCTTTGAAGTCATTATGCATCTTTTTGTGGTTTTGCATCTCTTTATGGTAATTTTGTGTCAGTTTGAGCATTTTCTTTGTCTTTTTTGGTAGTGTTGTGTCTCATTAAGATAGTCTTATCAGTTTGAGTTAATTTTTGTTTGTCTTATTTGGTTGTGTTGTGTTTCTTTGTACCCATTTTGTGTCACTTTGAGTTAATTTTTGGTCTTTGTGGTCGTTTTGTGTCTCTGGGAGGATTTTGTGTTCGGCTGGGTTCATTTTTGGTCATTTTGTGTCTCTTAGAGGTCATTTTGTGTCTTTCTGGTTGTATTTCCCCCTTTTTTGTAGTTTTTTTGTGTCTCTTTGCAGTTCATTCCCATCCTTTTGTGGTCATTTTTAGTCTCTTCCTTGCTGGTATGTATCTCTTTCATTGACTGCACGCACAGACCTAAATTATTTTTACACTATCCTGGCAAATCTTGTTTCTATGGTAACTAACATTCAATAGATTTTTTTAATAACATTTTGTAATGGGTATAGAGATTGTGGAAAAACTCCCAGAACCAGCGGCATCACCAAGCATACATGATAGTTCATGAAAAAACAACGTCTGTTGAGTTATTTGGATCAGAGTGTTTAATTCTCTTGAGCTAAAAGAAAGAAAATGTCTCCAGTTATAAGTCCCAGAACAACAATATAAGACATGTAAACACTGAAAAAAAAGATGCATAAAAGCAGAAAAAAAGGGTTAAAAATATTATTTTGGTCCTAAGTGTTCCCCTCCATGAGCACTATCATAGCACTGTAAACAAAAAACTGTCATTTCTGTACCGATAAAGTCGAAAGACGAACACAATGAAGGCAAAGAGCTTCACAGAACAGAGAAAGTTAAATTCAGATTTCACATATTGTACCTGGCCCTGTCTTAAAGGACATAATAAATGTTACTCAGATTCATGAACAATCACACCATCCAGAAATGTTTGTCTCAGCAATCCTACTGCATGGAATGAAATCTAATCACTGCCTGACCATTAGACCCATTACATTCAAAAATTAACTTAATACAGTAATCTGGTGATTTTTAAATCAAGTATTAAACATCCAGCTACAAGAATGTATATCTGACTTCTCTCCATCGTGACAACAGTCAGACTGTCCGACTCTCTTAAGTCTGAAATTACTGATTCACTCCAAAGAGTTAAGTAGTAATTGTGGAAAATTACTAAAACAAAGCAGGTCTGCGAATGATAAAAATAAATAGACTTAATGTACACCACGATAAATATGCTGAAGAGGCAAAAAGGTGGTGCAGAAAGTGCAAAAATAATCCTCCATCTCTGTGCAGGTAGTTTGCATGTTGCCAATACAGCAGTCGTCCTCTATCACAGTGTGTGTTTGATGGCAGTCAGAGGCTCTCGTTTGTTCTGCAGGTTCTGCTGCAGCTCGCTGAACAGATGGTCCCGCTCCTCAGCATCCAACAGGATTTGCTACATGGAAGAGGAATAAAAGATGTCAGTAACTATCACCAAGTATTTATAATAAAGCTCTGATTATCACACATATTTCACACAGAACTGTTCGCAGGAGCTATTAATTGCAATAGTTTTTTTTGTCTTTTTGTAAGATTTGCTGACAGTAGGAAGAAAAAAAATAATATCCCCAACTTATCTCAACTTATATTATTTTTGTTGACCCACTTTTCTCATTTTTTTTTTTTTTTTTTTTATCATCAGGTAGAAATAGATGAGGTTGCTTCATTTTTTTAACTCTCGATATTATTTGAGAATTACTTTCTCACTTTAATCAAAATACATCTTGTGGCTGGGAGATTTGTCATTGAGACCTGGCACTGATGTTTGGCATTGTTAAACGTTTTTAATCAAAAAAAATAAACAAACAAACAAAAGACTAGAATTATTGCCTTGCGGTTCTTTGCCTCAGCAAACCAGTCAAGTTGCACTTACAGTTTAGATGCATGTCTGTGAAAACAATGTGATTTTGCCAAGTAGGACATGCCCCTGGATCAACATCCCACATCCCATTCCAGGATCAACACTGCAATCAATCAATCACAGCCCTCTGACATCATCAGTGTGCTGCTCCTGTGCGTCTTTCAAAATTCCTTTGTGCTTCTTCGGAGCTAAGCTAATTTTATAAATTCATGTTAGTGCAATTACAAAATACTCAGTAACACTTAACACTTGTAAGCTACTGCAGGGTTAGCGAGTTAGCTTGCTAACTAGGCTGGCTATGCTAATGAGTAAGCTTGCTGATAGACTAGAATATTAGCTAGTTAGTTTGCTAACTAGGTTGGTAATGCTAATGAGTAAACTTGCTGATAGACTAAAATATTAGAGAGTTAGTTTGCTAACTAGATAGGCTATGCTAAAGAGTTAACTTGCTGATAGACTAGAATATTAGCGAGTTAGCTTGCTAGCTAGGTTGGCAAAAGGAATTTGCAACTGAAAATGATATTATCCAAACTCTGTGTTACTGAACAATATTCGAGCCTATTGGCAAGCTTACTCGTTAGAATAGCCAACCAAATGTTTCCCCCTCTGTTCCTGAGGTATGGCGTTAAATAATGGCCAGAAAAGTATTTTTGCATAATATTATGGTGTCACAGTGAAGTTAACCTTTGACCTTTTGGATATCAAATGTCATCACTTCATCATGTGATCCTTTTAGACAGTTGTGCTACATTTTGTCATAATTACCACATGAATTCTTCAGTTATGGCCAAAAACATGTTTATGAGGTCACGCTGACCTTTGACCACCTAATTCTAATCAGTTCATTCTCTAGTCCAAGTGGACGTTTGTGCCAAATATGAGGAAATTCCCTCAATGCCTTCTTGACATACCACTTTTACAAGAATGAGACATATTCAAGGTCATAGCAACCTTGACCTTTGACCACAAAAACCTAATCAGTTTATCAGTGACTCAAAGTGGACATCTGAGCCAAATTTGAAGAAGTTCCCTCGAGGTGTCCTTGAGATGTCACGTTCACAAGAATGGTAATGACGAACAGATGGACACCCTGAAAACATAATGCCTCCGGCCGTGTCTATCGCCATTGTGGAGGCGTGAAAATATAAACACCACCAAAAACAAAAAGGGCTTCCAATTACCAGGAAGATTTTTTTTTTCCTTTCAACTGTGCTGGAGTGGCTCAGGGTGTATTTGTACTTCTTGCTTGTTCGTCTTCTGACAGTAATTACCTTCAGTGGCAATTATATCATTATTATAATCACAGCTGCATTTAAGTGAGCTTGAATAGAGTACACAGACAGGGCCGGTCAGTGTGTGGTATGTTGAGGAGAGAAGTGTCACACTGTGCACAACAATAGTAACTGGATGAATCATCTCAACAAGCATCCAGCTAATTTAAAGATCATTACAGTGGACCAAACCAAACCGGCACAACAACATCTGTACTGTGAGATATTTTCAGCCTTCATAACAAAACCATCTGACATTGACTTGTTCTTGTTAAATGTTTGGCCTTCAAATATATACTTTGATAATTGTTGGAGTGCCTTTAGGTGATATTTGGCAAATATTTCATATTTAGCAGCATGTCGTCATGAACTTAAAATGAAATACGGAGAGATATTTAGGGCTGTAATTGAGGATTATTTTCATAATCAATTTATCTGCCAATTATTCCTTCAGTTAATCATTGGCTCAATTTGACATCAGAAAACACAATTATGATTTCCTTGTTTTGTCCAACCAACAGTCCAAAACCCAGTTTTCAGTATTCACATTGCACTGACAGAAAATAGAGAAACACAGAAAATTCTCACATTTTAAATTATTTTTCATTTTGCATGGAAAAAGACGATTAATTGATTATCAAAATAGTTGCAGATTAATGTTATGTCAATGAACTCGTCATTAACTGACTAATTGTTGCAGCTCTGAAGATATTAGATATAATTTTATACATTTCATACATGTACGTGTATTTTATAATTTATTTATAAGTATACACACGATTTAGCTACTAATTCAATTTTAAGTTTTTTTAATTTATTTTCTTTGGGAGTTTGGGGAAGAGGAGGGGTGAACATGAAAGTGTGATGGGTGGGATTTTATATCACATACGTTTCTAAATTTTTCAGTGTTACAATACTGCTGTTTGATATTTTCAATTAAGAAAATGTGGCTTTAAAGTTAACTCTGAGTTAATATAGCTCTGTGGTCTACAGTATGTTAGACAAACATCTCGTTCCTTGTCGACACGCACACACCGAATATTGAGACAACACGCAGTACTTTACCTCGATAAGTTTGTCTCTCTTCTCCAGGCTGTCCCTCAGTCTCCTCTCCTCTCTGTCTCTGTCCTCTCTGCTGTTCTGCCACGCTCTATCGGCCTCCTTCTTCTCCCTCTCCTTCTCCCTCAGCTCCCGCCGAGTGTCTCTGAGTTGATCCATCAGAGAGGACACCGTCAGACTGTGACTCTCCTGCTGACTCTAGTGAAAAAGAAAAAGGCATAGTTGGAAAGGCTGAGATGATGTGTTGTCTGTGTGTGCCAGTCAGTGTGACACTTTACTGTTATAAATTCAGTGATCACATTTCAAATATTAATCAAACAAAAGTGTTGTTACTTGTGTTACAGAAGTTGCTGCATAATGGGAGCATAGAAAAATATAACACACATACATTTTTTTAATCTGTACAAAAAACAGTAATTCGTTTTTCCTTTAATTAATTCATGTCCTGCTTCATTCCAGCCGGCTGACGCTGTTCTAGTGTGACTGTACTGTATATTTTGGTTGCATTTCATACTATGATTTCAATTAGCAATTCATCTTTAATTTATTCTTTGATGCATTGTTTAATCTATGAAATAATTAAAAAAAAAACATCCATCCAACCTCTGAGCCCACTATGACAACTTTAGAGGTCTTGATTTGTTCGATCAAAAAATGTTTAGTTTTAATAAATGACAAAGAAAAGCAAATGGATTAACTGATTAACCAACGGATAATTTCGGCTTTACTTTAAACCAATTAAATCAGTTTTGCATCAGATCTTTAGTTCTCAAATATGAAAGTGACAGGTGAAAAACCGCTGGCAGCTTTTTGTTTTTCAGATTTCTCTCTAATGTATTCAACTTTTAAATCCTCTCCTCATGTTAATATCTCACCTGCACCATGTCCTGATACTCCTGCAGGGCTGTGGTGAGTTTGGTGACCTCCTCACACAGGGTGGCGCTGTTTCCCTCTCCATCCTCTGCCAACCCCTGACCAATCACAGAGTCAGAGAGAACGTGGAGGAAAATGACATGTTGTGAGTGACAGTTTCCTTCACTCAAGAATACAGAGAGAATAAAAGCTTTGTAACTTTATTTAAAAGATGGAGGATGTTAAGTGAACACTATGTATCCCTTTGAAGAGTGAGGGAGACACGCTATATCCCCTATCTCCAAATTACACCCTTGTATATCACCTGCACATCTTTCTGACAGCTCTCCAGCTCCTGGATCAGAGCGTCCTTCTGCTGCAGGACAGTAGTGAGGGCCCGGTCTCTCTGTCTCCACACCTCCCTCTCTTTCTCCACCTCCTGCAGCAGTTGCTCCTTCTCCCCCAGAGCCACTCGCAGGTCCTGGAGCAAAGACAAAATGCAGGTTCACCTAAAGAAAACTTCCAAGTACATGCAGAGTGAACTGTGCATGGGACAAAGTGAAACTGTACACGCTGCTTGAATGTGGTGAGAATGTGTATGTGTGTGTTTTGAACTACACATGCAATTCCATCCCTGGTTTCTAATGTGTGTGTGTGTGTGTGTGTGTTCGTACATTGATGATATCCTGGTTGCACTGCAGCACGGTGTTGAGTGTGTTGAGGTCTCTTTCTCGGTCTCTTCCAGCCTTCCTCAGCGCCTCGATCTCCTTCTCCATGCTCTTCTCCTTCTCTGTCACTTCAGAGCTCAAAGTCTGCAGGGCAGCCTACAGATCACAAAACATCTCAGTTACATCTGATTTAGATTTAAATACATCTGCAGGGTAAATCTTAAAGCAAAAATACCAAACATTCCAGAGGTTCAGCTTTTCTATAGTGCTTCATCTCTTTGGATTTGGCAATCCATTTATTCTCAATACAATATATACATGCTCACCACAACACAGACGGGTGACAGCATTGTCTTTTTTTTTTCTTTTTTTTAAATAAACTTTATTTAATTTCAAATACAAGTACAGACAGAATTTATCAGCATACAAATTAGATAAGACAATACAATACATGACAACAATACAACCAAAAGGATGGGAAGTGTCCTTTAGTCAGAATTATAGATCCAAGATGTGCCAGGGGAGGCGCTTAGATTTGTCCATTGTTTTCCTCCTCCGGAGGTCTGTGAGTACCTGCCTCACGACCATGTTGCTGTCTATGACAGTCTGATGTAGAGTCATGGCACATCTTGTTTTCCATATTTTAACACAAACTACACTGATGATCATTTGAAACAGCTCTTTGTGTTTCGGGGGCATCTTCTCATCCAAAAGTCCATACATAACAGATTTGTAGCAAATTTTAAAATTCACACCCAGACCTTTTAAAATGCACCACACCTCTTGTACTCTGTAACAGTTCATTAGCAGATGTTCTTGAGTTTCAGGCTCGGAGCAGTTGATCATTGGACATATTTTGGTGGTAACGTAACAACTCCATGAAACAACTGCTCTCACTGGGAGTCTGCCCACTGATGTCAGCCATCTGTTGTCTCTAATGCTCTCTGACATGGATTTATTTTTTAATATATTTATCACTTCATTGCTATAATTATCAGATATGTATTTATATTTTATAAGGCCTCCATATTTATAATTATTAATTGTATTAAAAATATGTTTGCTGGATGAACTACACCAATCAATATTTAAATGTTAGTGTTCCATTAGATAATCAGCATATAATAATTTATAATATGGGCCAGTTCTGTCTCTCCCTCTCCTTTTTCTCCACAGTGATCTGTTCCCTATCCAGAGAGCATTTCTGGACAGCATTGTCCATATGTGATCATTATACCATTCAGCAATTCAGTTTTACACGGTCAAAAACGGTTTGCCTCCACATTCCACACCTGATTCTAATCACCTGAAGCGTACCTATATGCCCTTCGCACAAAAATGCTCCACCCTGTGTTCAGTTTAGGAACTGCATGTGCATTTTTTTATTTCTACCTTGTTTAGATAAGGATAGAATGAACAAACAGGAGGCAGACATCGCTATTCGGCAGATATCTCCAACACTCAGCAACAATCTAGATTGATTTATATTTTGGGGTGAGAGTTTCTGCAGGGTTTACTACGTTAACTTAAATACTTTTAAAGATCTTTTAAAGGGAAATTTTGGTTTATTTCAACCTGCCTCCTATCGTCCTAAATTTGTTTCAAGTGACTAGTGACATAAAAATAATAGTTAGCATGTTAGCCGTTAGCCTAGATACAGCCGGGGCGCATAGTAGCGTCAGACCTGTTAAAACATAAGTGAACGGGCAACCTTCAAGTGCAAAGTTAGTCCACTAAACAAGCTTTTTTCCCACAAAGACCGCCTCATATCATTAGGATAAATGTCAGAGAACATATAGAAAACGACATGTAAACGTGTTGTCTTACCTTACCGGTGTGGTGCCATGTTTGTTTACCATTTAGCTCTGCTTTCCAAAGCGCGGCCAAAATATATCTCGCCAGCTCTAGATAAAGCCCAGCTGGATACAACTCCAGGTGGAGGTGTCTTGTCCTCGATCACATCCAGACCTTGAAAATAAGGCTGCAACCGGTCCCATTCCTTGCAGAGGCATTCCTCTTCTGTGGGCACTGGGGCACAGCATTCACAGGTACACCACCAATCTCCAGAGCTACGCAGCCTTGTGGCAGCCATTCCTCCTCTCTCGTCCTCTACGTGTTGCGCCTCTCTCTCTCTCCTCCTCCGTTCTTCAATTTCACGAAGCTCTTCGTCAGTGTATTCTGGCTCAAATAAATAAGGGCGGCCATCAAACTCTGCAAAATCAAATTCCTCCTCCACAAAGTCGAAGTCTGGCAAAAAGTCAGCCATTATTCTATAAATCTTTCATAAAATGAATGAATTAACTTTTCAGGCTACTGTCCGGTTCTGCCTTCCAGCTGTTGCTGCATGTTCAGGCACGCTATGAGATCGCTGCTTGTTCTCGCGATATTTCGACCGCGCTTTGGAAAGCAGAGCTAGATGGTAAACAAACATGGCACCACAACGGTAAGGTAAGACAACATGTTTACATGTCGTTTTCTATATGTTCTCTGACATTTATCCTAACGATATGAGGCAGTCTTTGTGGAAAAAAAACTTGTTTAGTGGACTAACTTTGCACTTGAAGGGATGCCCGTTCACTTAAGTTTTAACAGGTCTGACGCTACTATGCGCCCCGGCTGTATCTAGGCTAACGGCTAACATGCTAACTATTATTTTTATGTCACTAGTCACTTGAAACAAATTTAGGACGATAGGAGACAGGTTGAAATAAACTAAAATTTCCCTTTAAATACTACACAGAATAATTATTCCACAAACATACCAGCCAAAATATGAAAACCAGTGGCGATGATACAGCATTGAATGTATTGTTGTTTTCAGACTTCCCAGCAGCATGTAAGAGTAATTTCTAACAATATAGATAATGAAACCAACACAACTGAGGCCTGGTTGAGCAGAAGAACATATATGGATGTATTTAAAGTGATGTTTCTATTCCCAATTTTTCCAGCCAGTCTTTAACAATAGTCAGGTCATGTCAAAACATCTGCATGATTTTTGTGTGATTTAATGACAGACACAATGGAGTCAAAAGTCAAAACACAGCGTGTAATTCCAGACAGAATTTCTCCACAGAGCTGGAGGAAATTGCTGCCATGCTACTGCCAGACTGGTAAAACCTCCTGCAGGCCTGAGGTAAAAAAACAAACACCCATCACAAGACCTGCACTGCTAATACAAAAGCCTTCAGGGACAGCAGCATCTAGTCTGGTGACTATCAGCAAAAGCCCGTCTGCTCATGCTGATAACTGAGCTTTAGTGAGTGGGTAATATGTGTCATCATAGCAGACCCAGCATGAAGCATGTATGGGAAAGGACAGCATCAGCTCTGACCTTGTTGACAGAGAGCGTTTCCTTCAGATTCTCCGTCAGTTTCTCAGTCAGCTTGTCGGCCAGCTCAGTCCCTGCTCCCTCCTCCACACACAGCCTCCTGATCAGACCCATACACTCCTGGAAGAGAGGAAACATCTGTCGGCTTAGTGCAAAATAGCAAACATGCTCAACTAACTGCACTGTTATGTGGGAGTTTAAAGATTTAAAGGAACAGTGTGTAAGATTTAGGGGGATTTAGTGGCATCTAGCGGTGAGGGTTGCAGATTGCAACCAGCTGAAACCTCTCCTGGTTAAATTTCCTTATGTATTCTTTGTTCAAGAGTGAGCTGAACTATCCATAGAGATTCGACCTGTTGATTTAAACTGGTAAAAACATTGAATGAAGCAGTTTCTCCTCAAAAATTCAGTGTTTTTCTGACGCTTTCATTATGGAGGGGCTTCTGACTAATGCGAATGGCTGTGTCTAGAGCAAGTGTTTGGTTTGTCTGTTCTGGGCCACTGTAGAAACATGGCGGTGCAACATGGTGATCACCTTAGATGAGGAACTACTCCCTATGTAGCTATAAATGGCTCATTCTAAGGTAACAGAAACATAATGATTCTTATTTTCAGATGATTATACACGAGAGAAAACATAGTTATTATTCATTCATTCATTCATTTTCTGTAACTGCGTATCCTGTCAGAGGTCGTGGAAGGGCTGGAGCCTGTCCCAGCTGACATTGGGCGAGAGGCAGGGTACACCCTGGACAGGTCACCAGACTATCACAGGGCTGACACATAGAGACAGACAACTATTCACACTCACATTCACACCTACGGACAATTTAGGGTCACCAGTTAACCTGCATGTCTTTGGACTGTGGGAGGAAGCTGGAGTACACGGAGAAAACCCGCTATCATATCATATTCTATTTCTGCCAGTATATCCTCCCAAGTCCTACACTCTGGAACTTTGAGGCTTACCTAAGTGTGGCTTTTTGTAAAATGCAAATTGTATAAAGCCAAGCATGAATCAGTACACAGTAACATAATAACTCAAGTGTTACTGTGGTACTGTAGAGGCAAGAGCCAAGCTGATATGTATGTAAATGAGAACCACTGCAAACATCAGGCAGTGCCGTCACAAATCTAAAACTCCATCAAACAAGCAACCACATTCATGATTTATCTACTTACCCTGAAACTCAAAATCTGTACAAACCACCAGACTCACACAACACCCAGCTAGGTGCATGAGTGTTTAAAAAACAAACTGCTTTCATGTCTGTGTGGTAAATATGAAGCCACAGCCACCAGCTGGTTGGTTCTGTCAGCCAGCTCACTAATTAACATGTTATATTGTGTTTTTGGGACAGAGACAGGTCAGCCATTTCCCCGTTTCCAGTGTTTATGCTACGCCAAGCTAATAATGTCAAAGATTTTCATTTGAATAAATGTCTATTGAGTAACTATCTATAACAGTGGTGATTGAGCATATGAGCTAGTGACCAATTTTCTTCAATTCATGAAGAACTAGTCCATACCCATTGAGTGCACAGTTGCCCATGTACAGTTTCACATAGTGTGTGTTTGGGATACAGGTCATAGGAAATTGCAGATTAAATAGTCAACTGAACCTATTAGGAAGAGCAATTTATTCAGACAGAGTCTTGATAGTAGTAGTAATTTGATAGTAAGATTGCAGCCACAGCGATCTGTTGCATGAGCAGGGCATGTTGCGATTTGTTTCTGTTGTTATAGCGCCACCCAGTTGCCAATTAGAGTTAAATTTCTCCAGTCACCTTGAGGCGTCCTGTTCTACATATCTACCAAGTTTAGTAAAAATCGATATGGCGGTTAGGCCTAGATAAGAAATTAGCTCTCTAGCGCCCCCATTTTGTTTGATGGGGTCAATAATGGAGGGGTCCCCTCAGATTATGTGTGGTCATATGCCTACAAAGTTGCGTGGTGATCGGTGAAACCCTTGAGATGTTATACACCTTTATGTGATGAGCCACGCCCTCCGCAATATTCATTGCCTTATAGAAGCTCAGTTTTAGTAAGTTTTCCAACTTTTGCCAAGAGGGAACTTTAGATATTGGTCCCTAGATTATGTTCACCCAGTTTCATGCAGATCGCTCAAACTTCCTAGGAAGAGATCCATTTGAAGTGTTTTTCAAAAAATTCAAAATGGCGGAAAATCTATATAAGCGGAAGTTATGGGTTCTTGAGGCAAATGTGTTCCTCATGAGGAGAGGCATCTCTGTGCAAAGTTTCATGTCTCTACGACATACGGGGCATGAGATATGCCCATTCAAAGTTTGACATTTCAATGGGTTGCTATAGCGCCCCCCTTTGGCCAATTGATGTAATATTGCTTCATTGGCATCCTCCCATGACCCTCTACCACTGTGCCAAATTTCACATGGATTGACCAAGTCAGTGAAGAGAAAAACGTGGGACACACACACACACACACACACACACACACACACACACACAGTTTTTGTCATTATATAGTAAGAAAGATGTTCGCCTTTTTAGACTTTTAATATTAAGTAGTCACTGAAAATGCAATGTGTTTACACTGAGATTAGCACTTAACCGCTATCATCTATCAAAAATGTTTCTACAAAACAAGACAATGGGCATTTTTGTCATTTTGTGACAGGGGATCTGTTTGAAATATTGCAGAGAGCAATGAAACAGTGAGGAGCAGCCACAGTGAGCTGCAGACTGCATACTTCCAACTTAGTGAGGTAACCAACTCCCTTCACTGTGCCCTGCTGTCTGCGGACTCGTGCTGTGTGCAGCTTAAAATTATGGATAAAGGATAATTATTGCCTGACTTATTTATTAAATCAACAATAATTTGTTTTGCTGCCTTTAGTACAGTGGGATCTGTAGTCTAGTATTAAACTGCACTTGCTGTTACCGCGAGTAACTACAGGTGTCACCCAGTAAACCAAGACTGAAATCTTTGAGACACCCATAAATATGGGTGCGGTTTGATCTTCTCAACTACTAAGACAGATTTTTCACAAATAAAACAAGTTATCAGTGTAACAGGATATAAAACCAGAAGTAAAAGTGCAACAGGGACTTTGTTATAGTCACTTATTGATAATCTTTTATACGGTGTTCTTCACTCAAGCACCCTTTGCATCAGATAAGAAAGTCGTTGGTTGTCTTTGTGACAGGACAGTCCTGTTTGCTTTAGCCCTTTAGCTATCACGCATCACAGCTATCAACAGTCCAATAAAATCCCTGCTGTAAATAGTCAACCTACCATGCAGCTAAAAATAAAAGCAGTCATGATCAAAGCCTAAGAAAACATACTTCAGTGTCACTGCTACAATGTGGTGAACAGACAAAGCAGTTTTGGCACTGCCACTTTAAGGCCGTACAGTGACTTCAAAAGACAAACAACATTCCTGTGAGCTTTGAGCCAGAGCTCCAGCAGCAGCAGCAGAAGATTCCAATGCTGTGTGCATGACTGAGTCCTGTCTCCCCTCATCACCTCACCCACCTGGATCAGACGCTCCCGGCTGTGCAGGGAGTGACCGAGGCTCTGCAGCAGGGCGCTGCCACCCTCCTCCTGGAGCAACTGAAGGAAAGAGGGAAACAAATGACAATGGTTTCCTTTTAAAAGTTAAACTGTGTTAATGAATCACTCTGGAGAACTGCTGAGTGAGACATACTCCAGATCCTAAGGCCTTAGTTTAGGTGCCACAACTAATAATTATGAAAAACACCAGGTGACAGTGCCTTTCACAGTATCATTAAATGCCTTGTTTTGTCCAACAAACCAAAATGTATTAGATACTACAACATGAAACAAAAAAGCAGCATATTTTCTCATTTTAGAACCTGAGACCATCAAATATCTGGTATTTTTGCTTAAAAAATACTTAAATGCTTAATATAGCATAAAAATTGTTGCAGATTAATTTCCTCTCAGTCAATTTATTGATTAATCGGCTAATAGTTACAGTTTTACAGGGTTTTATGTGAAATGTTTCTCAATCGGTGCTACCACAATACGAAACATTAGTCTGCTTGCACAATTAAAGGCAGTAATTAAACAGTGTGCTCCGTCTTTCCTCCTCCCCTGCTACTACAATACCTAAGCTTCACCACAGATAAAACAATACTTCAATACTTGGACAATGTTAATGTTAGAGCTGATCCAATTAGTTGATTAATCAGTTAACAGTCAACAGAAAATTAACCAGCAACAGTTTAGATAGGTGCTGATCTTGTCAGCCACTCTACAGCACAAGCAAAAATGTGTTTCGTTTTGACTCTGGTGATGGTAAGCAGACGTGTCCCGGGTCATCTGAGAGGCCTTAACGGTTTATAACGTAGCAGCAGATCACTAGAAAAAAACACCTTTCATATTGTACAACTTTTGATCCATTTTTTATGCAGAAATATTAATTAGAGCAGCTTTAAGTCATTTATCATGCAAAAATGTAAAACATTCTCTGGTTTAAGTCTGTGAAATAAAACAATTTCTAGCTTTATTTTACTCAAACTTTTAAAAATTGAATTTCAGATTGAAAGCACGCAATCTAAAGATGATGATTCTACGATGAAATATTAATTAAAACCAATGCAGTGTTTTTGAGAATCAATTTGTATCACAAAACATAATATTGTGATACTGAAGTGTATTGATATTTTCTTACACTCCTGCTGTACATGCGCTTAAACACAATCACAGTCACATCTGTATACATGGCTTCAACTACATGTTGACAGCAGCAGTCCAACTCCTCCCCTCCACTAATGTTACAGACAAGCTGTGTGTCCACTTAAACACTTTTCTATCTTTCCCTCCATTGTTGGACAGCTGGTGGCTTTAGTTCATATTTCTCCATGACACTGTAATCATCTTCTTTGCAATCAGAGGCAACACCCTGAGCAAATATGTCTCGTTTTCAGTGTCTAAATCCTCTGGAGTCTCTGTCAGTATGAAGAATGCTGGCTCTACAGGTAGCTCTGTGAATGTCTCTTTGTCACTTTCTTCCCCTGAGATAAGCAGTCACATCACTGTTTAAATGCACTTCAGTGCCTGCAACCGCAAGTGAACACATTATCTTTCAGATAGCCATCAGTTTAGTAGTATGTTCAGTCTGTTGTTAGCCCAGCTTTCATGTTTAGCTCAGGTCAAAACTAGCCTACACAACCACTATACATAAAGTTAATAGCTCGGCAGGCTGTAATTTACAACAGTTATCAGGTTATGATTGTTTCTGTTTCTGTTCTCTTTTAATGCGTTTTTATGAGGAGGTAAAGTGGTGAATCACAGCTGAGCTGACAAATACGTTGATAAAAGATTCGTTCGTACATGTACTGAACACCGCTAATGTTTAAACCTGCTGCTACTCCCACATACTTCACGTTAACTCTTGCTAATGTTAAACCCTGTCTGTTCACATGACGGGCTCAGATCAGGTCATGTGAACTCTACAAAGCAGCTGGGGTGCTTTATAATGATATCCTCTATCATGAGACTACTGAGCCCGGGGCAAACTCCACCGGTTGGGGAGGATTCCAGAGAGAGGCTGTGTGTATGTGTGTGTGTGTGTGTGTCTTTATCTGCACCTGTAAATGAGGAAAAACGGACACACCCTTCAACAGAAAACACACTACACCCTCCCTCCATTCCTTTTGTAACGCTGTATTTGTGCTCAGTCAACATTCACAGAGTGGTTTATGGAGCTGTTTGGACATGTGACTCAGGAGTTGCTGTGTGGTGTTGCTCTGTGTAATAAACCTGTTTTTCTTGTGTAGAAGAAAAAAAGCTTGAAAGGTAACAACTGTGCGGGTAAATGTCTGTTACACCCAAACGTCACTGACATCTCAACCGGTATTTATTTTATTTTTGATTATCACTGAGTTTACATTTGTTTTCCCCGTATTTCTAGATTTATAAACTATTCAAGCTTATATTATATGTTCAATTTTAGCAGCAGCAGAAAACTCATTACACTTTCATATGTTTATGTATCACAAGTAATACAGTTATCAAAATACTCAACTTTAGTGCATCTTGCGTATTTTTAACCACGTCTCACAGAAATACGTGAAACGACCACAATCGCTCAGCACCACATTACATGGTGGCGGTACATAATGTGTTCATACTTGAACGTGTGCGGATCCATGGAAACAACGCCAAAGTACATCACTACGTTTACATGCACGAAATATTCTGGTTATTGCCCTTATCTGAAACAGACAATAATCCCACTAAGATGTTCACACGGCTGATGAAAACAAGTATTCCAGCTTACACGTAGTCATGCATACTCCAATTAACAAGCCCTAACATGTTGTTTATCACGTCAAAATATAGAACAGTGATTTACCCAGATGAGAACCCTGGTTGTGACAAATATTCAAGGGCAAGGCTCCTCTTATTCATGTGTATTGGACGTGTCCGAGCCTTGAAAAATACTGGAATGACGTTTTCCAAACCTTATCCTCAATCCTCAACTTTGACCTGCAATCCAGCCCTCTGGTCGCCCTCTTTGGCAACACCAGAGAGGATGATGTACACCTGACTCTGATCCAATACCGTACGCTGTCTTTGCCTCTTTGCTGGCCAGACAGGCAGCAGATGGAGAGATGCTGCCCGGGCACCCACGCCCAGTGGATGAACGACATTATGTCGTGCCTGAATCTTGAAAGATGTGCTACTCAGTTTGTAACTCAGATAAAATACTCCAAAAGGTGAGGGTTCCCTTTCTGAAATACTTCCGTATCTGTCAAAATGTTTGTTTCTTCTTCTCGTTGCTTTCTGTCAGTGTATACTCTGATTATTCTAAAAGTGCCTTTTACATAGGCATCTCCCCTCTCTTTTAATATGGAGCCTGACTTTTAGCTCATCCGTCATTTTTCCTGCTATTCAGGAGATAGAGGGCCGTCCTATTGACGATATTCCTGCGGGTTAGTGGAATGGGGAGGATTGTGATTAGATTTCACGCTTTGTACCTGTCATATATATGCTTAAAGTTTGACTCCTGTTGTGAATATTGTGTAATCCTGTTAAAGTTTAATAAAAATGTTCTTATAAAAATATATATAGAAAAGTTTTCTTTACCGGTGGAGGACTTGTTCGACTGCGTGAACACAACCTTCCTCTTTCATTGCTTCAACCACCTTCTTGAAAAGTTCGGCGTTGCGTTACTTGCGCATATCCAAAAACCTATCGATACCCAAGTCTTTCATAATGTTTGAAAGTAGGTGAGATTCTTCGGGCAAACAGAAATGTAGGCTTTTCTTTTGAGCGTGCATCTCTACCCTACAACCTTGCAACTGTTGGCAAGTTGTTTTGTGTGTAACGTATCATGATAAAACACAGAGCTGACCATAAACAGGCAAGAAGCCTTGTGTTGCAAACCCCAGCTGAGACGTATATTCTCAATGTGATGTATACACGCCCAAATAATGCTTTTAAACGAAGCATCACGAATAATACCGGCATATCCCACACGTCTTAATCGGAAAATGATACATTCAGAAAAAGGCCTAATTTGGAATATCCAAACAGATTATATTGTTTACATGACCGCAATCAAATTCAGAATGTTGTCATATTTGTAATAATAGGGGAATATTTGTGTGCATGTAAACGTACCCAATTTGGACTCTCTATCGTGGTAGACACATGAATTCTCTGGTTTGACGTCATGCAGCGGGTGATGGTTAATGTTACAACTCTATACGTAGTATAAAGAGCAAGAAATTCCGCGTAGGGAGGAGGCAGGGGTCGTGAATTGGTCAAACATACACAGGACTTTCATTCAGGAGGCCGCTGTTCATGTCCAGTGTGAAACTAAAAATTAACGTTAACTTCTTTTAACTTTACGTACTTGCTTCCTTTACATAGTAATGTCCCATACATAACAAATGTAGTTGTTTTAACCAAAAATATAATCTTTTTCTAAATCTATACCAGATGTTTTGGTGCCTAAACCCAACTGTGCCGCCACCACATAATTTAACACATTATGTGCCACCACCATGTAATGCGATGTTAAGAGTTTGTGGTCATTTCACAAATGTCTATGAGATCTAGCTGCATGTTTTCCTCATATCTTGCAGCCCTACTTTAGACAGAGCCTAGACCAGGCTAGCTGCTTCCTGCTGTGTCCAGTCTTTATGCTAGGCTATACTAACTGGCTGGCAAGAGAGCAAAAAACACACTTCCCAAAAGGTGAAACTACTCTTTCAATATAAAGTACGTTGAGAGAGTGTGAGAGAAAAAACTGAATGCTTACAGGGGCCCAATCCTCTGATCCGTTGACTTCAGTTGGTTTGCTCCTCCCATGTTTCAGTTCGGCCTCCAGGGTCCTGATGCGAGACACAGCTTGGTCCAGCTGGCCTCGCAGGTGCCTGACAACATGGTGAAACCTGCCATTTGTGCTCTGAAATGATAAAAAAGAAAAAAAATCATAGTAAACATGAGTTGTAGTATCATTAAGTAAAAACACAAGTGAAATGTTTAGGTGTGATGTTGTTGGACTGCTGGACCGACCCCAGCTGCTCCCGGATTAACTATTACAGCCCAGTGTGTCAATATTTACAGCACACACGCCATCTGGTCAGAGTTCTCCCATTCATACATTAACTGTTGTTCAAAAGTTAGAAATCTCCTGACGCGAAAACTTCACAGGGTCCAGTCAGACGTCTGAGGGAACTACTCTATATCCCTGAATGGTCTGCCATGCTTTTGAGTTGTAAAAAGTCCTCTTTACAAATATATGTTGCACATGGAGAACAAAACGCTGTACAACAGTTCAAATAAACTGACAACTGAAAGGGACAAAGATGCCTTTGAGCAACAGTTGAATATGAAAAGAACAAATCAGCAGTCATTGGTAAAAGAAACTGGAAGCTTTGCATCAAAATGTGTGAAGATTTAAATAGGAACAGGTTCTTGTTTCAGTGTCAAGTGCACAATAATGATGATAATAAGCCGAATTAACAGGCGACATGTTGCTTTAGCAAAGCTTTTCTTCACACCTCACAATAGAAACAGAAAATTAGTCTCAGGGGTACTTCAGACCAGTGATCCTCAACTGTTTTTGTATTAAGGACCCAACATTGATACATATTAGGCTTTCTGTTAGCATGCTAATCATATTTTTGTGTTTTCCAAAGGAGACTACAAGAAAAGATGACCTATATAATATGATTCATACACTGTACTGAACTTCATGCATGGTGAAAATATTATTTTTCCTGGGAACTATTCCTTTTAATGCACATGTAATGTGTGTATGGACACATACAGATGTGAATGTAAAGTATTATGTAAACACGTGGTCTTAAATTACAAAAATGGAGCATCATCAGGTAATCAGAGCAAAATTTAGCCCCAAGCTGGTGGTGACTTAACAGATGAAATCATGATAAAGCATTTATCTTAACTAGAGCGCTCGGAGAGCGCAGACCTCCGCCAAGCAGCTCAGATTTCCGGCCATTTTATTATTTTATCCACTTCACTTCAACAGATCACCACCAAAATTTTATCATTTGTTCCTTGTCCCATTATCAACCTTTCCTGAAAATTTCATCAAAATCCATTCAGAACTTTTCGAGTTATTTTGCAGACAAACAGACCAACGCCGCCGAAAACATAACCTCCTTGGCGGAGGTAATTATTGTATTACCAGGAGCGCTCTTGTTTTCTGTGTCAATGTTTCAGTCGAGTCCTGTTATTTTGTTCAGTGTTATTTGTGAGTTGTTTTGTAAACTGTCACAAATATAAAGTTGTTGTGGACCTCAGGATAAACAGCTGCTGTAATGCAGTAGCTAAAGGGGATCCTAATAAACTAAACTGAACATTAGGTCACGGACCTCCATGTGATAAGATTTTGCTTCAGGGACCTCCATCTGAAAAGATTTTGGTTGTCAGATATGATTAAGGCCAGAGTTCTATATTTATCAGCTACAGCTGAGGAGATAACTGTGGAGGAAGTGAAACCTGTGATCAGAATAGTCACTCATGACTTTTACTCACACTGGGCTCACTGAAAACAAACTATTACCCATTTTTCTGGGACCCCTGGTTGAGAACCACTGCTACAGACTGACAGATCACAGTTTAAACCTATTCAAACCTATCCACTGAGCAGACTGCAGGTTTCCAAAATATTTACAGCCCATGGAACTTTTGTGATTTAATGATCAAGGATCAATTACACTTCTCTAGACTGGAAAACAAACTCAAAATCAAAGGGTTTTGGGGGAAAAGGAATACAACAGTATTCTCCCCGTAAGGCTCGGGAAACATGTTGCATTTTTTTGCGCCCCAAATCTGTCTTGTCGATGTAGATGCACAGAAGGCATGCTCACTCTCTCAAAAGCGAGAGTGATCCCATCACGGCACACAAGTGTTCCAAAGCGTGTATTTTTCAGGGCCTGACAAATGAGTCCCAGCCTGTGGTAAATATGGAGGAGAAGTTGATTACTTTAGTGCAGGGTTACCCAGAGCTTTATGGTCTGTCCCAGTGACAATATTTTAGGCCTTAATGCACACTTAAAGAAGCAATGTGTAGGATTCATAGGATTTAGAGGTATCTAGCAATGAGGACTGCAGATTGTGACCAGCTAAATGTTAATTTAATAATTTCATTCTTCTTTTTACCCAAGACTACTTTAAATATAAATAATACATTTGGTGTCTGAATTATATCGGTTTTATCTCTAAAAATTATTGAAGGAAAGAAGGAAATCATTAACGTGAGCAGTGTTGTACATACAGAACATTTTGTTAGTTGATGGGAGGCAGACAGGAATGACACTCACCTCTCGATGAAGAGGCATGAACTCGTCCCTCAGCTCTGATAGGACATCTCCGTCCTCTTCATCCATTTCATCCTCTCCGTTCTCCACGTTCCCAAAGTGCAGCACCCTGTTCACTGAGGGCGACGTCATCTCTCCAACTTTTCCTGAGTACTTCCTGCTCAGAACTGGGATCCTACTCCCTGATGGCGAACTCACCGGCTTCCCTTCAATACTTCTCAGCTCCTTCAGCACAAAGTTGGCCGACTGAAACCCCGGTGAGTCAAACGGGTCATTGTCATCAAGAGAGTCCAGAGACTGAATGGACGCGGTGCGGGAAGATTCTTGTAAGGACAGAGTGGACCCCGCCCTTGAAGACTGGCTGGAGCTGATGGATGACACCCTCTGCCAGTGGAGGGGCATGCTCTGGGATTTGTCCCGTGACAACGCTAACGGGGAGAAGGGTTGGAAAGGCAAGCGGCGAGGAATCCCACAAACAGACTCGTAATCCGAGTCGGACACCCTTAACGAATCACAGCCTTCGCATCCTTTGCCCTTTCTGCATCTTTTACCTGTTCTTATAAAATACGGGCACGTGTCCCACTTATCGGACCAGCACTCGTACTCTGAGAGTGCCATGTTCTCTTTGAGCATCTCCCTGTAGCCCTCCTTCTCCGCCTCTCCATCTTCTTCGCTGGTGCTGCCCCTGCTCTGGATCTCCTGCGGATGTCTGTGTTGGTAGCTTTGCCGTACCCACTGTCTGATCTTGTCCCTCTCCTGCATCAGCTTCTGAAGCCTCTCGGACGACAGCACCCTCACCCTGGCTATCACCGTGTCGAACTTGAACACCCGCTCGAGGACACACACGCACTTGCCACACACAAACTCCCCCTGCCCGCTGCCCCGTGGCACAGACTGCCCCAGTATGTGAGTCAACACCGAGAGCAGATCGATCCCTTTGGGCGGGGAGCTCAGGGATAACTGGGACTTGGAGAGAGACGCCGAGGAAGCCAGAGATAATGTGCTGCCTGTGAAGAGTAAATTAAAAAAAAGTTAACGTTGAACTCTGTGATCAAAATCTTTATTTCCTCATGCTCCAGACTCACCCCAGGGGCTGCTCTGCGAGGACCGGGACAGACTTCCTCCTCTCTGGGACCCTGTCGGCGTCCAAGACTGACCTGTCTTCTTATTTTGGCCTCCAAACAGCCACTTCCTTTGGTTTCCTTGGAGAGCTCCGCCGCATATTCGACACGAGTCATTTTTACCTTTGGAGGACATCGTGGACAGAGGGCTGATACTATCTCCCTCGTTGTCCGATGAACGTTGGAAATTCTCTGTGAATCAAGCAGAAAAACAGGGATGCATTTACAGCAACCTGGAAGTCATTGATAGCACAGCTGTTGGCGTGCAGGCTGGTCACGATATTGATACCATATAGATATTGTGATATGACACTAGGTATCGTCTTAGATTTTGGATATCATAGTATCTTAAGTCTTGTCTTTTCCTGATTTTAAAAAAGGAAACCATGTGGGATGACAGCACCCGAATTTTGCACTGGTGCCAGATTTTGGTGCCACTTCTATTGGAGTTAAAGGAGCTGGCATGGCAAGTCCCTTTATTACCCATCATATCTGTGCTGTTTTACCTGTGAATGAAAAATCCTTCCACAAAATAAAAAAAGCACATTATGTGATGTTAACTGATATTTTTAATCTAAATGTGTGCGTTCATCTTCCTTGTTACTGGTCTCCAAACAGATCATAGTTCTCTCCATGAGCTGCAATTATCATTAGCTCACCCAAGCCTGTTTGGTTCAAGACATCATGATAGGGTTAGGGTTAGTGGGTCAAGGTTGGACCAGGTGATTAAAACTGGTAAAAAATAGAAATCAGTGTTTCTCTGACGTTGTTCAGCATGTTGGAGACAGACCGCTTGCCCAGCACCTGCTAATGTGTGCTCACCTTTTTCTCTGATAACTTAAGACCCAAACGTTGAGGAGGTTTTTACCGGGAGTCAAGTTTTCTATGGAGGTCTCTTCCTCTCCAAAAAAAACAGACCTGATGATTCAAACCAGTTAAAACACTGAATAAAGCAGTTTCACATTAAAGATTTATGTTTTTCCTGTCGCATAGGGGCCGCTAACTCCTGTCTATGTAGAGCCAGTGTATGGTTTGTCCGTCCTGGGCTACTGTAGAACATGGCAGTAAGTATGTGATCTCCATACACGAAGACCTGCTCTCTATGTAATAATAATAATAATAATAATAATAAACTTTATTCATACAGCACCTTTCATACAAGAAGTGCAGCACAAAGTGATTTACAATAAGGGCAGTATAGGCACTGAGTGCTCCACATGAAAACAGACAGAATGAACATAAAAGAGAACTCATTCATAAAACTATCAATCATAAAATCAAGTAAGATTTTAAAAGAGTTGCAGCAGCGTGACGCGTAAATAGGAAGAGATTCAGACCTGTATCAGGAAGTCAGAGCTAGTTAAAGGCTAAAGTGAACAGATGCATTTTTAGCTTTCTTTTAAAAAAAAATTAGCGAGCTAGCTTCCCTGATATCTATATGTAGTGTGTTCTATAGCTTTGTGGTGTAATGGACAAAGGCTGCACCCCCTGGTTGTTGGGAACCTCCAATAAAACAGCAGCAGACAATCACAGTGTTCTTGGAGGCAAATAGTTAACAAGGGAGTTAGCAATGTAGCTCGATGCCAGCCCATGTAGAGCTTTGTATATAAGGAGGAGGAGCTTAAATTCTAAACATTACAGGAAGCCAGTGTGGAGCAGCTCAGACTGGCCTGATGAGCTCTCTCCTCTCGGTTCTGGTTCATAGCTGAGCTGCAGAGTTCTGAATGAGCCGAAGTCTCTCAGTGGTGTTTTTTGGGAGGCCAGTAAAAAGTGCATTACAGCAGTCGAGTTGTCTTGAAATAAAGGCATGAATCAATTATTTGGTATCTTTTTCATTTGGAAACGGTCGTACCTCAGCGAAGTTTCTGAGGTGGAAAAATGATGCTTTCTGCATGTTGTTAAGGGACTTGAACCTTAGATCTGAATCAAGGATCACACCAAGACTTATCACCTCCTGTTCAATCCAGGGAGTTAAATTCCTTCAGATTATTAGGCAGCATTTCTCTTTTTGTTTTAGGGCTGACAAGCAGGATTTCAGTTCTGGCTTCTTTTAACTTTAAGAAATTATTGCTCATTCATTCATCTATCACCAAAAGACAGGTGGTGATTGAGTTTATGGCTGCAGCATTGTTTGGCTATGCAAAGATGTACCGTTTTTGCATTTCTGCCAATATACCACCATAAATCCTACAAACTGGACCTTTAATTTATTCTGCTAAATACAAGAACCACTAGTTTGTTCTCTACTTTTTCCCACATATTCAGTAGAGTGAGTGCGCTATAGAAAGTAGTTTCTTAATTTAAACCAACATGGCTTATAGCCCAGAAGCTGGCAGTGAGTTTTGTTTTTAAAATGTTAGAAAAGGCTTCATTTTCCCCTTATTTCCACACTAAAACAGGTCAGAGAAAGTTTAACAAGCCATCTAATCTCCCCAGTTTGACATATTTACTGTCTCCCTGTTGCTGTGACTTTGATTTTGTTTTATTTCTTCTGTGTATGGATGTTTTGGCCGGTTTATGGCAGCTCACAGCTGCTGGCTGTTTACAGTAGCTCCCCACAGGGCGGGACACGTCGACCTTGAGCCACGCTGACAGTGAATTCAGTCAGACTGTGATGAATGAAAGTTTCTCTTCCACAGTCAGTCTCTCCGTGAACCTCTCCCCTGCTCACAAGTCAAATATGAGACGCGCTTCAATCACTCTGACCACATTACAGCACTTTGACGCATGACTTCAACATGACAATATGCTCTCTGCATGTGGATAGTGTGGTATATTGCCTACATCCACGACCTTTGACCATTTAAATAAAGTGTCTTTTCTTTTTCCGGGAACCAAACAGCATGCGACACGTTTCCAAAGGGAAAGTCTTCATCATCCAGTGGGAAACAGTTGGACTATCGTGTCTCTGATTCTATTTTAAGACACTGAAGCGCAGCGATTCAACGTGAAAGTAACGTCAGCGTGTGAGCCTCTCACTGCCCTCACTTCAGCTCAATCTGCTTCACAAACACACCAACAGCTTTCATATGAAGTATTTTTAAAGTCTTACGTTTGAGTCCTCCGGGATTCACGCGCTGATCAAAGTTTAAAGTCCAACACGCGAGGAGGAAATCTTCATTGTCGTCTCGTGATACAAAAGTCGAAGTCACAGAGAAGACATGTAGGTAAAGTTTCTTGCTCTGAACTGAGCTTGAGCCGCGTTGCAACACACCGCAGGGGCAGGGGAAGAGAGGTGGGTGTCACCTTGCTGACGTCATCGGCCATACCTGTTTAGAGCAGCGCGAGCGCAGGCAGGAGGTCTGCAAACACTGGCTGGGAGGACCGACACACAGTAGGGGAGACCGGGTCATGTTGTCACTCCTCACTGCACATTTAGCTATTAACAGCTTATTAGTGCAAAACAGCTGTTGACAGGTTAGTGGTGACATTGTGGATACTGAAAGATAAAAGAATCAAGTAATCACAGCATTTTTTTCATGATGATGAGAAATTAAAGCCTCGTTTCCACCAAACACTTTCAGTATGGTACCTTTAGAACCAACAGCAACCCTTCAAACATGGTACCTAGACCCTAGTGTTTCCAGTACTCTTAAATGTGGGCGGTTGTTGTCACTCACTGCTCCATCCAGCACTCACTGTATTTCCTCATTACTGGTGACACGGAAGTCTGCACCTGTTTATTGTCCACAGAATGAGGCTGCACGCTGACATTTTCAGAACAAAATAAAACAGGCTGCAGTGAGAGTCTCTCTCCATGGGATATTTAAAAATAGTGGGTTTGTGCATTTAATCCTTCTCAGGCAAGCTCAGGGGTTTAGTGTTCCCAAACCCACAGGAACAACGCTCCACAAGGCTTTTTTTTTTCTATGTGTGAGGATTAGAATATATGCAGTTCACATAACCCGATTAAAATTAATTAATATATATAAACGCTTGAAGATCCACTCATTACTAAAAGTGTATGTCATATAAAAACTAAAGTGATGGTCAAAGTTGTCACAGTTAAATTTAAGGTGTGTTGACGGATTCATGCCGTCACCTAATACATTGAGTAACATTACAAGTTAAAGTTCCACCTTAAAAGTCTCCGGCAGTCGGCCCAGTGAATTAAGTTATTTTTTCTCAGACTCCAGCTGCTGTGAGAGGCAGCAAAACATCCTTTCATTTTATAGTTACAGTTTACTAAAACTCTCCACAGTATGAACAGTGGTTGCATGAGTCTCAAAACCAGCCACAACTCAGCCCTGAGCAGAGTGACCGTCCTCTACTGACCAATCAGACTGCAGTGTTCACAGCTCCACCTTTTAGTACCACAGGGGGGACCAAAAATGGGGATGGTAGAGAATGGTTCCATTGGTACCATCCACAACTTTTCACAGTGGAAATGGAAAAAAACGTGTACTGAACTAAAGCGTACTGCTCGATGGAAACTGGGCTTTAATCTCCATACAGACTGGATTTATGTTAGTAGGGGAGTTGGTGTAATTGAGACAACCCTGGATCACATATGTAGCCTGCTGTTTTTTAGTGAACTGGCTGGTCCCCCTCCAGGGCCATTTCTAGGATGTGAGCACATCACAGGCTTAAGCAAGACATATACTTGTGCATCAGCTCTAAGCAGACCCTACGCCATAGCCTACACACATTGTTATATTTATCCTTTAATTATAAAAAAGGCCACTGGTTGTATGCCCTCATTGTCAGTTTTTCCCTGTGGTACTGAAAATGGTATTGAATATCAGTATTTTCCAAGGTATTGTATAAAAGTTAGAAATTCCATGTTTTTTTTTCATTAATATATTTTTGAACACAAATTATACGTCAAGAAACTGAACTACAAAATAAGAGCCATTTGTGTAACCATAAAACATGTAGCCTACATATCTAAATTAAAATAAGAATTCTTATGAAATAAATTCCCTTTTTATTCCCTCAAAATCCATCTGTCAACCCCATTAATCAATTCATTAAGGAAAATCAATAGGTTTAATCGATTGGTCACAGCCCCTATATGCTGCTTTGATTCAATCATGCGTAAAGGGCAAAGGAGTCAGCATGTTCTCCACAGTCAGGAGCCAACTGAACATTATCCGTGTTATCAGGACAAGCTGCATGAACATCTTAACATCTCAAACAGAGACTAAAATGACTCACTTTATATCATTTAAAATGTTGAGACTTTTTTTTCCAGCTGTCTCTGTTTGACTCAGTTCTGTTGTTAATTGTGAGGCTGAACTTTGTGGTTCTGTTGTAGAATTTATATTTACAGATGCTTCTAATGTTGCGTCCATACAGTAGACTGCAATCCAACCCAACAACAATCGCCTTGCGGTTGTATTCCTCTGCAAACCAGTCAAGTTGCGGTTACAGTTTACATCCATATCTGTGAAAACATGGACGCTTCACACGTCTTCAACCCGACAGCACAGAAGATCTATACAGTCAGCGCAGTTTCAAGGTGGACATCTAAAATCTGTCACCAATTTAGTATTAGTCCAAATGTCTCCCTTCAGTTCCAGAGATATGACATTAAGTAATGGCCAGAAAAGTGTTTTATGCAGAACATTGTGATGTTACAGTGAAGTTGACCTTTAACCTTTTTGATATAAAATGTCATGACTTCATTGTTTTATCCAATTTGACATTTGTGTGAAGTTTTGTCCTAATTAATGCATGAATTCTTAAGTTATGGCCAAAACATGTTTCACGAGGTCCCAGTTACCTTGACCTTTGATCTTGACTACCAAACTCAAATCAGTTTGTTCTCGACTCCAAGTGGATGATTGTGCCAAAAATGGGGAAAATCCCTGAGGGCCTTCATGAGATATCACATTTAAGAGAATGCAATAGACTGGGGCACAGAGACCTTTGATCACTAAATCCAAGTCAGTTCATTATTAAGTCAAGGTGAACATTTGTGCCAAATTACAAAAAAATCCTCCAGGTGTTCTTGACATATCATGCTTGCAATAATAAGACAGACGAGGTCACAGCGACCTTGACCTTTGACCTTGACCACCAAATTCTAATCAGTTCATGCTTGAGTCCAAGCGGATGTTTATGCCAAAAATGGGGAAATTCCCTAAAGGCATTCATGAGATATCGCATTCAAGACAATGCAGTAGACTGGGTTACAGACACCTTGACCTCTGACTCTTGACCATCAAATTCCAATCAGTTCATCATTTAGTACAAGTGAACGTTAGTGCCAAATTAAAAAAAAACAAAAACTTTCGGATTTTCTTGAGATATCATGCTCCCAAGAATAGGACAGACGAGGTCACAGCGACCTTAGCCTTTTACCTATGACCACCAAAATCTAATCTGAGCATCGTTGAGTCAAAGCTGACGTTTGTGCCTAATTTAAAGAAATCTCTCAAGGAATTCTTAATAATAATGTTCACAAGAATGGGACAGATACACGGATGGACAGCCTGAAAATATTATGCCTCTGGCCATAGTTGTCAAAAAAGTAGAAACAATACATCTGACATTTACATGTACAAATGTAATGTTTGTTAAGGTAATTAAGTACATTACAGTGTCACAAGGTTTCTACTCTTATGGACAGTCACCTTTTATAACTCAGCGTTAACATCAGGTGTGGATTATTTCTTAGTTACTGAGTGTGATTGTTACATCCCAACACCACATTTCACAGTAGAAACAGGGCTCCCCAACATCATCCAACAACATGCAGCCAAATCAGGAGCCTCTTAGTGCAAAAACAGAGACTTTCCAATGGAGAAGAAAGGAGTGAAGTATACTAATCAATTCACAACTTTTAATTATGCAAATAGACTAATGTTTCAACACCACGTGTCTTCGCCAGGGTCAGAAAGAGCACAGAAAAAACACACACTTCATAGTATTACACTTCACATCACAACTTGGATGTTTACACTTTAAAAAGATAACCACAAATGTCTGACAGTATGGGAAAATAAACAAACATGTACAGATAATAATTTAGAGACAGGTGTTTCCAAGCTTGTGCTCAATATTTGAACACAGATATAAACATTTTAAATATCCTTAAAGGACAACTACGCCATTTTAAAAATCCATACATGTTATTGCTGTGGTCAACATGAGCATCTGTCTCTCAAATCCAAGAACTAGACTGCTAAAACTCAAATTTGTGACATCATTAGTATTAAGTCTGTAGCTGCTCCATAGACAGTGAATGGTGAGAGATATTAGATGACACTCAGAGCATCCAGGGGAATGTTCTGAGTGTATGGGAACATTTTTTGTTTCAGAACCGAGAACACTACTGTAGAAGACAGCTAATAAAAGACGGGATCCACAAAAGCATGCTCCCATTCACGTCTATGGAGCAGCCCCAGACTTGTGTGTGAGACTTCTCTGGTTTCTGGTTTTGAGAGAGAGCAGCTCATGTTCACAAATGTCAATTGAACTTTTCTGGGTCATGGAAATAACATATTGGAATTCTTAATTTTGGTGGTGCTCCCCTTTAAAAGGTCAATAAAAACCAAGCTACATGAGACATAAACATAATTATAATCTGCTCTCTGTGTGACAAAACTCTCCATCACATCTGAGAGTTTCATCCCAAGGAGTGCAGGGCAGATCAGTCTTTGGATCCTTTGCAAGACTTCCACAGTACCAGAAGCTTCCACCAGAGGGCGACAGCTGATTGGTCATTGCTAATGTGCTGACACAGAGCATGGCTCACTGTGTCACTTCAGACTATTAACTTTTGTCTGACAAGCCATAAAATACCATCAGACAATGAACCTGGAATTTTCCGTGTCAGGAATCTTTACAAGCAAAAGGCCTCAAAATTTGGCATATTTAATGTATATTGTGATGTATATTAAAAACTACAGTATTAAGACACCCCCACCCGCACTGTCACAAAGGAAAGCTTTGAAAAAGACTATAGTTGCTGATATTTTAATATGATTTTTGTTACCTCTATGTTTATATGGTCACTGTCTTGTATAAAACCATATAATGATATAAGTTTGTTGAGATATAAGTTTGTTCTCATGTGAGCCACTTCTCTATGCAGCTCCTGAACACTGTGTTGTTGGAGTGCCAGCTGGTATGCTTCACTCCAGAGTGGACACACGTCGACACATCCCCACGAGCGTCCAGCGTCTTCAGCCCAAACGTATCGTTCTTGTAAAACTTTCAAAGGCAGAGAAGAAGAGAAGGATGGGTTTTTACAAAATAGGAGGAGAGAGACTTCTACCATGTGAAAGAGGGTCTAGAGTAGAAACAAAGATAGTTTTCCAGTTGATTTACCAGTAATGCAGTGGTGTATATACAGTGATTTGCAACTTACCTCCTGGTTCCTCATTTCTACAATGTTTTCGTTGCTGTCATAGAATCCAAACTGGCTGTTTAGAGAAGAGGAGACAGTCAGTTCAGGTAAAAAGGTTTTGAAATTACTACTACAGTTTTGACCAGAAACTCAACACACATTTTGAAAGCTTTATGAGTGAACACTTCGTTGTCTTTCACCTGTATGGAGGACACAAATGACCAGTACAAATAAATAAATAAATAAATAAATTCTATTTGTTTTTTGTTTTGTTTTTACTTTTTACATGGCTGCAATGAATATATTAATATAAAATAATAAATGCTTTAATAAATACATAAATAAATAAATGCATAAATAAAACAATAAAATAATTAGTAAATGTAGAAAGTTATATGGAAAGATAACGATAAAGAAATTATAAATAAAAATAAAAATCAAAATAAATAAATGTATAAATAAATAATTTTTAAATTTTTTTTTAACATTTCATTTAAAATCATAAATGCTAAAATAAATAAAAAATATAAATAAATGCATAAATAAAAGAATAAAAGAATTAGGAAATGTCAGAATTTATATGGAAATGAGAAGATAAATAGATAATAAATAAAAATCAAAATAAATAAATGCATAAATAAATACATTTTTTAAAGAATTTAACAATTTATTTAAAATCATAAATGCTAAAATAAATAAAAATATAAATAAATGCATAAATAAAAAAATAAAAGAATTAGTAAATCTAGAAATATATATGACATGAACTGATAAATGATAAATACATCAATACATACATATAAAAAGTTCATAAACAGGATATAAATAAATATCTTAAATTCATTTCAACACTTTCTTGTACAACTACATTTATTCATTTCTGTAGCCTACATCTGTGTCTGTGTGATTATAACGCAGTAAGTCCTACATTCTTATTTATGCATTTATTTATGCAATTTATTTTTTATCATTTTGTTATTTTTAATGTATTTTTTTCTGTATTTATTTATCTATGTATTTATTCATTGTGTATTTATTTATTCCTGTTTTTATTCATTAATATATCTGTTGACACTTATATCAGTTTTCAGCCTCATTACATTCACACAAGCTGCCCTCTGATGGTTGGAGGCTGTACCTGCAGACAAGACTTTAGACTCAAAATATTGGAAACTCCCTGCACGTTTTTCAGGTTGAAAGCTAATTTAATGCATAATATATATAGTCAGTTTCTCCCCCCAAAAAATAGTGATATTATTGTTGTCATTGTAAGCTACTACACCCACCAGTGATTAATTAGGCTTTTTTATAACAGGCACATTAAAATAAAAGAATGTTCATATAAATGATAAAACCTGGACTGCCACGGTGTTATGACGCCATCGTCTGGTCCTCCAATCAGCACAAGCTTCTTGATCCGCAGGAAGTTTTTCCTCCACTCTGAGGAGGTGAAGTTAATAAAAAGGCATTAATGTAAATTGTTACCGTACATCCACAGGTACACAGCACATAATGACAGTAGTTCATTCCACAACCTTTCATGTCGTCATGAAGACTGTCACCATTGAGCTTAGGCAGAAAGCTGTTGCCCTGCAGGTAGCGGTACTGATGGTGAGGGTCTGTGGGGAAAAGATGAATATATGTTGTAGTATCTTTGCAAGATGTGAATGTAATATCACCAGCAGGTTCTCCTCAGTTAAAGGTAAATATGTTCAGCTTTCTCACCGTTCCAGTAGTCGCAGATAGAAACTTTCTGTCCCACTCTGTTGTAGCAAATATGAAACAGTGTCGTTTTTATCCAGTTAGGAAAAACCCACCTCAGGTATTCTGTGTCTGTGGAGTGTGACAGTTATTTGCAGTTTAAGATATATTACAAATCAATTCTGCAGGTATGCTTAATTTGATGTGCCCAGGGGGCCACTTTTGCAAAATGACAGGAGTCCAGCATGATCGATGGGCCACCTGGCACTGAATTGCAGGTCACATTTGGCCCTTGGGCTATAAATGTATCACTGCATTACTGTTTAAGGTTCTGGTGAATTAACTGTGAGTCCTAAAAAGTCATCATTCCCTGGAGGACAAGGATTATACAGTGAAATGAAGCTCCCTGACCTCCGTACTGCCCGGCGAGTGGTGATGACAGTGAAATGAAGGTGTCAACATTGTGGTTTGGAGCCATGGAGAGAAGTGCTCGACAAATAAGACCACCTTAGAAAAAAAAGGAGAGGACACAACGTCAAGAACGCTTCAACAAACCAGTGCGTGTATCTGATCTGATGCAGTGATGGTTACCAAGTGAGCAGAAGCACCGCCATGGGGGGACTAGAAGGGGCCACGACCACCCTTACACAATTGCTGCCCCCATTCGTAAATGCTGTTTCCTCTAAACTTTTGAGCACATAGAAACATAAACTGCAGAACTGTAAGAACTGTGAGCTGCTTGGTTAAAACATGGCACTTATTTCGGTTTGCTAGAAATGAGGAAGTGAAGGTTGAAGGCCTGGGGTGTATAGATACTACTCCTTAACTTTAATGTGTGTGTGTGTGTGTGTGTAATGAAGTAAAATACACTCATGGTGATTATTTTGTTAGACTGACCTTCGGGTAACAGACACTGTCTCCCCGTAGTCAAAATGAACAGATAATACAACATCCATATTTGCCTAACATAATCTCACAGTGACAATTTATCTTGGTGTTTGACAGACTGAGTGACGCCTCTTTAAATATACACTCAGTTTACACCCAACTCAAACTAATGTGGTCTAATCCAGCAGTCCTGCATCAACGTCTACCTTTATGAAGGTTATAATGTTCAGTATTTTGTTTAAATTATTTTGGAGAGGTGTTACTTGACCTTTGTGGTCATTTTGGAGGATGTAGTTTGTGATGCTGATGAACAGTTTTGCGTAACACAGAAAGGTGTTTCTATTATTTAGTCCACTCCACTGAGACGAAACCATTGAGAGTAATGCCAGTGACAGGCTCAAGGACACTTTGGATTGGACCACCTATCCTGCAGTTCGTGGACGATCAGCTTTGCTCTGTGTTTTGTTTTCACCTTGAGGCTATTTATTCAGGGAGGTTTCACTGAGAGGAAGCTTCACTTCTGCAGGACCGGTCTGATCGCATTTGCACAGCTGCACAAATACACACCAGAAAGCTGCCCAGTGAAACCACACTGTGATCTGCTGGCCGCTGACCAGCTCCACTGAAGCAGGTGGAGTCGAGGGCCTTGCTCAAAGGCACCTCAGCAGTGGTAATGAGGGATGGGCAAGTGCTGCTATTTCACTTTAAAAACCCAATCACCAGATAAAAAGTTGGCACTGTATATTACATCTCCACATTATCATGTACATACAGTGATCCTTTATGTTTTATCACTGCTGTGGTTAACATGTGGTAAGTTTGGGGCGTCAGTAGCGTAGTGGATAGTGATGCCGCCCCATGTACAGAGGCATTGCCTTGCTGCTGCAGGTTCAAATCCAGCTTGCAGCCCTTTGCTGCATGTCAGTCCCCACTCTCTCTCTGTCTCCCCATTTCACTTTCTGTCCTGTCATTAAAGGCAAAAAAGCCCACAAAAATAATCTTTAAAAAAACATAACATGTGGTTAGGTTTAGGAATGAAAATCACTTGGTTATGGTCAAGAAAAGATCGTGTTTTGGCCTAAAAAGCAGTCTTGGTGGCACAATCCCACCTGGAAAAGCAGCAAAATCTCAGTAAAAAACAACTGCGTTTCGTGGCACTATCCCCACTGGGAAAACTGCCTGAAAAACACCCACGTTTGGTGCCTAAAAACTTGCTGTTGTCTCACCTAACCACCATCCCTTTCACCTGCCAGTGAAGAAGTCATCTGATACACTCTGTCACGTTAGAAATGACTATATCTGGGGCATCGGTGGCTTAGTGGATAGAGCAGGCGCCTCATGTACAAGGCTGTTGCCGCAGGGGCCCGGGCTCGACTCCAGCCTGTGGCCCTTTGCTGCATGTCATCCACTCTCTCTTCCACTTTCACACTTAAACCATATTGATAACACTGTAAGTAGAATGGGAAGGGGAGTGTCAGTTGCAAGAAGAATTTCAAGAGGTATGCCGCTGGAAGTTATCAAACAGGTCCTAAATGCTTTAGTGCTGTCACAGCTAGATTATTGTTTTGTAATATGGTCGAGTGCTTCTATGAAGGACATGAGAAAACTGCAAGTTGTTCAAAATAAAGCAGCACGTTGTGCATTACAGTGTTCTTACAGAACCAACGTGAAGGACATGCGTAACAGCCTGAGATGGTTAACTGTAAGACAGAGGGCTCATTATGTTTTGTTAAACTTTTTGAGAAACATTATGGTAACACAGTCTCCAAGGATATTGTATAGAAGGTTATTGCCTAATTTTGCTCAACATGAATATCATGTTGTAATATTTCATGAATGATGATTCTCCTGTGGGGAGTTTAAAATATCACTGAGTATGACAAAAGACCGACTGTACTGTTTATTGCTTTACTGAGTTTGTATTATGATGTATGTTTTAGGAGTAGGGAGCATCTAGGGGTGCGGGTGTCTGGCGAGTGTTCTCTGAAGCCCGATCCACAGGGGAGGGTCTGGGTATGGGAGCTGAACACGCAACAACCCAGACCCACCACTGCAGGTGTGGTGTAGGTGGGCACATGTTGGGAGTTGGGTGCCTGCATCCTCAGGTTGCTCCAGACTTCTTTCTTTGGTGTTGTTGTTGTTTATGTTTTTTACTATTTGTATTGGAGAAAATGAAAAATGGAAAGTGGAGAGAAACCTGTGGCTATGCATACCAGAAATGTACAGATTTATGAATTTTATTGTACTTGATTCAAATAAGTGAACTATTGTTTGTTTGGTTTGTATTGTATTGTATGTTGTACTGTATTGTATATGTGTATTGTATGTATATGTGTGATTTGTTTGATGTTGTGATGTGAGAAGATTGGACACCAGGAAGAATAGCCTTGTTTATAACAAGTGCTAAAGGTGATTCCTAATAAAATGAAATGAAATGAAATGAAAAACTGTCCTATTAATTAAAGGCAAAATGCCCCCAAACATATCTTAAAAAAAAGAAAAGAAATGGCGATATGAAACATATGAAATGTGCGACTGTAAAAAAAGAAACCGGTTGACAAACGTCTGAGAAGCCTGTGAGCACAGCAAAAGAACTCTGGATGATTTATTCCTAACGTTGGGTTTGGGAGAAACAGATCTGAATTTAGTAATCTCCAAAAGCTGATTTATTTCTGATGAGACAAAGATAAGACTATTATGAGCAGCAAACTTTTCCCTCTGGGTCTGGTTCTCTGCTGTTCCATTCATGGCTACAGGATGGCAGTGATGTGTGCGCACAGTGTGAGTATGTAATTGTGTGAGTGGACCTTGTGAGAAGCAAAGAAGATGGACGCCATCAGGGGCCTTCTGCACGATGGAGTCAAAGACTTTCCTGATGCCTTGAACCTGCTTCCACAGCGGCTTCAGACTGTCCAGGTTATTGTACAAGTCAATCACCGTCACCTCTGTGCCTGGGTGCACCTGGGAATTACATTAAAAAAACATGACACAGAGTAACAGAAACACAGTGATGGCTGATTCAATCAGCTGTCAGCCTGATGACTGATAATGTTATCAGCCCGCTCAGTCAGATGTGGGTAAATGTGGGAACATTCTTCTGAAATAAAACTGATTTTGAGGAATAGAGAATAACAGCAGAACAGAAAGTGTTATCTTGAAACTGCTTGCTGATTTTCACTTCACCTGAAGTCTCACTTTAGGATAATCTGTCACCTACTGTAGATCTAAAGTCATACATTCAATTAACGTCTACTTAATCTGACTGCTCACACAGGGGTGGATTATCAGACAATGGGTCCCTGGGCACAGATAGGGCCCCACCACCTAATCTTCATAGGTGCAAAACACATAGACTTTATACTTGTTAAAGGGATCCAAGACAGTCCAACAAAAATCAGTCAACATGAACAACTCTCCCACATCAAAAAACTAAAGCGCTAAAACTCAAATGTGTGATGTCATAGTTTATAAAGTCTGGAGCTGCTCCACAGACAATGAATGGTGAAAGATGTTCTAGATGATGAGCGCACCCAGGGCAACATTTACTATCAAGAGAGCCATTTATGACCAAAAATAATAAACACAAAATCTGTCTGGAGCCACAAAACTTTTTTAGCATTCTAATTAAGGTAACACAGACTACTGGGTCTAAATGAGCCATTTAACATCACTAGTAGGTCTAAATGAGCATCCATTAATAGGTTTTACCACAAGTTGCCTATTCTGCAGTGGGCTATTTATGATTTATATTATTTTTAACTTTGCAGAGTGGGTGGTACAAGCAAATGGAAATGTCCACACACTATCAAATTCTGTATTCTCCACTGAAACTTTACTTTTTTTGGATTTGAAATCCATAACTACCACCGCTCTTAAATGTTGCCCAGATTTGTAGAAGTAAGTATCAGGCCCATGATGTTAGAAGCACATTTTAATTGAAGAAATGTGCAGAATTTCTTTAGAAGTGACATCACTGCAATAAAATAAAGCTCATCTGGGTTTAAAAAAAAAAGCAAGCATTCTGTGGGGCCACAAAATCAGGCTCCCATTCATTGCCTATGGAGCAGCTCTAGACTTTATACTCTGACACCACAAGTTTGAGACTTACTTCTCTGGTTTCAGGTTTTGACGGAGGGTAGCTCATGCTCACAAATACTGGCCATTGAAATAACATACTGGAATTGTTAATAATCATTTTGTGCTGTTGGTTGAAATGCATCTTTTTGTGGTTTTGTATCTCTTTGAGGTCATTTTGAATCACTTCCTGGTCAAGAACGTGTTAATTTAAGTGACATTTTGCAGGTGGCACCCCCTTAACCTCTGGGCCCCCTCTGTGCACCGTAGGCCCGTTCAATAATCCTTTAATGTGCTCACACAGTTTAAATGATCAACATCAAGCCTCAATGGTGAGTGAAAAACTGTGTGAGAATTAAAACAGGTTTACAAGTTCCTTAAAATAAAATGCATAAACATCTGGACCATCATTCATATCTACATACATTTACTGTACTGTACTTGAGTACAATTTTTAAGGTGCTTGTACTTTACTTGAGTGTACGCTACTTTATGGTGTTACAACATGTCAGAGGGCAATATCATAGGGGAGAGCGGGGTCAGTTGGGACAGAGGGACAGTTGGGACCATGCCTTTTCACAGAGTTAGAAAACAACTATGCCTGTATCATTCACCATGCTCATACTGAGCCAAACCCTTTTCACTTCCAACCTCACAGTGGACACCTTCTGACTAGTCCTCACATTTCAGTCGCAGTTTTGAAATCTATAGCATGTAAAAACATTTTTTGCTCTTTGCTATTTTTGTTCAGCCGTACTTTTTTTTTTAGCTATGCCACATACAAATGTTAGAAAGATGATTTTCTAGTGTATCAGTCTGTAAGAGTGTCTGATTTTTTGGTGGTACCTCGCACAGGAAAGTTGGGAGGATTTTGTTTATAGTTCTTGTTACAAATGAATGAAAAGTAGACAAAAAACTCTAATAATACTTGATAAATTGTTAGCAGGCACCTGTATCTGTTCAGCGATCAAATAATTAGGTTATTTCATGTTGATACAAAAATGTCCAAACCAACCCCGTGCTCCCCTACTTTTTACTCCACTACATTTGTTTCATAACTTTAGTTAGCAGTGGTGTAGTGGAGGGTATACTCAGGTATATGGGCTATAACCACTTCTTTTTCTATCCAGTTACAGTGTATCCACCTATCAGCTAAAAAGCCATTGTAATACATAGGAGAGTATGCCCACTTCCTCATCGGTAATTAGGTTATATTACTGTTAGGTTAAGTACATTTTGATATCAGTACTTGTGCACTTTCACTTTGGCAACACTTTGAATGCAGGACTTTGACTTGAGTAAAACATCTGAGTGCTTCTCCACCAGATTTTTCTATGAACTCGAGAAGTCAGTTCCCAAAATTAAACACCTTGTACATGTTTGCACACGCTTTAAAGATGTCCTACCTTGCTTATGAAAAGAGACATCGTTTTGAACTGCTTTGGTGAATCAAAAATGCCATGCATGATGATGACAGGCTTGTACCCGTCAATGTAAACCCCTGTGAGCACCACCAGCAGCAGCGGCAGCAGCACCGGTGATCCGCGGATGATCGGCGGAGTCTTCGTCATCTCTCTACCCGGGCCCATATTGAGACCTCTGGCCGCGCAGACTGGAGGAGAAGGGATGACTTTGGCCCCGCGGTGATGAGGTCTTTTACAGTTCTGATGATGAGTATCGATCTCTTGCAACTTTTGTTTGTAGACTTGAAGAGCATGCGCGCCTCCTTCCTCATCACTCCCGCTGTAGTGGTGTCGTGTGTATGTGTGTGTGTGTGTGTGTGTGTGTGTGTTGACAATCACATCCGTTTTCGATGTTGAGTTACTGGCACTGACTCCTCCAGTTTAGACCCACATTAGTCTGTATTAAAGACTCAATGAAAAGAATGTAGTATTTAACATTTTATTATAATACCACTATCAATAATAACATTATAATGATAGTAAAATCATTGTTAATTATTATTTACTGAAGTCCCAGTTCAATAACCTGTGCACCACCATTAAAGCCAATGTTCTACTTGCAAGTAATGAAAAGTATCCGAGTATATTTACACAAGTACTACACTTCAGTACAGTTTTGAGGTAGGAACCTTAACTTTACCTGAGTATTTCCAGTTTCTGCTACTTTATATATTGGACTTTTTATTCCAATGCATTTACCTGGTAACTTTAGCCCCACTTTTACCAGCTGCAACATTAAAGTGATGTACACATTAGTGCATAACTACTACTGTACTTTTACTCAAGTATTCAAGTTTTGAATACAAGACTTTATTATATTTTATTTAATTTCATTGTATTTTATTTCTATTGTTAAGTAGGTGTATTTCATTAGGTTAATTGGTGTAATTAGTAGCATATTACACCAGTTATTAGTAGCATGTGCATGTCAGCCTCCTAGGCTACAGGACCGCCATGGAAATAAGTCATGTGACCTTACTGCGTTATCCTGATGGATTTTAGTACTGTATGCACGTTTGTGTACTCTATCTTAATTCATCAAATCATTCAATCAACACAGTGCTTCTGTATACTGTTGTATTTCTACTGCAAAACATTTGAGTGCTTCTCTCACCACTGCTTGTTTACTTATTTATAATGTGAGTGGAAATGTGCAAATTGCATAGTTGTGTCAAACAACTCTGTGCTGCATGGCTTTAAGTGTTTTACCATTTTACGAACTTATTTTGTTACTATTAGGCCTATGTCTTCATGACTTCTTGTCGTCCTTTATCTGCACATTTTAGGGATGACTTTACTGGTTTCAAAAGTCGCCTTTGGTGTTTGTGTGCATAGACAAGAAACATATATATAGATGAGAAAAAATGACAGTAAAATATTTTTATAAATACCATTTAAAAATATGTAGGCGCAGGAATGTTGAAAAATATACTCTTGGATATGTGCAAAGGTTCGCAGTATTAAGAATGTAAGAATAGATTAATAAATAGATGAATAATTGTATTTTTTATTTCTCAAATCTTAGGTGGAAACTTAAACGTTTAGTAACACCATTAAAACCATCGATATAGAAATGCCATGCAGTTATTGTTTTCCAGTTGGCTGCATGAGGGCAGTAAACGCTACAGCCTCTGACGCATTCTGCTCTTCTTCCGTCGTTTTCACATGATGTGTTTCCGCTTCCGGTCTCAGCGTGCTTTAGAATAAGTTAGCAAAATATGTTTTAATAATTTTTTTGGTGTTTTGTTTGGAAAAATGAAACAATGAGCTAATAGTTTTACATGGCTGCGGAGGGATGTATCCACTAAGTGTTCTTACAGGGAACTCGTGAGCTACAACTCAAGCTAACGTTTTATTTGTAGCTGGAGTTAGCTGAGTTAGCTAACTCACAGGCTGCAGCTTCCACCATAACAACAACGTTGTTTCGGCATTTTTGAAAAGCGGTAAGTGAAGCTGATGAGAGTCCTCTCTCTCAGTGGAAATGCAGTAGCGCTTTTCATCACACATTTTTACTCTAAAATAAAACTCATTACACAAAAATAGCAGGACGCTTTAACACATCATTTTCAGCTTAATGTTTGACTTATGTTGACTCCAGTTCTCAGTGTAGTCACACATCTTGCAGAGGACACAGTGACAGGATCACACCGATACACACTTAAACATTATAGCTACACTAATCTAATGCACTACAAAACAACTGTTCTGCCACAGGGAATCTGCAGGTCCTTAAAAAGTCTCAAATTTGAATGTGTGAGGTCTTAATTGCCACAAACATTTTATATAATGTAATTTATCAATATTTGAATTTACATTTATCAAAAGAGTGAAGCTTAAGTCCACATTTCGGAAGCTACAATTTTGTATGAACCTCCCTCTGAACCTGATACTATTTTTTAGTTGCACTTACCTGTTGGCACAATGTAGAATAACCTAACTTACTATATTGCTATTCCTACATAAACCTTCCACTGCACAGGACCACATACATATTAACCTTATCTTACCTGCATTGCTTGAGTATTAAAAAAAATCCAAAAATCAGTCTTAAAATATTAAAAATTATCCTGAGATGGTCTTAAAAGCAGCACGTTTCTGTTGACACCCTGGGCCTTAAGGTCTACTCGTATGATGCTGTCATGTATTTTGACACTTCAGTTATACGTTTTAGCACTGGGGTCATTATTAGTGATGGTGCTGTGTGAAACTGCATTATACTGAGAGATGTTTCGATTATTCCGCCCCCTGTCATGTGTGTAAATCTGCCAGAATGAAATAAGATCACCTCACATCATAATGTAGGCCAGTACAACACCACATTTACAAAGACATCAGCAGTAAAGATGCAACTGAATCTTCACATCTTCCAACAATGTCAACAAAAACTGAACTATAAAACACCTTGTAAAGGCGACATTTAATGCATTAGCAAGTGCAGGTGTACCTAACAAAGTGGCCACTGTGTGTATTCAGGCTAGAGCAAACTAGTTTAATATATCTCAGACTTACCATCAACTGTATGTACAGGGTTTTGGTACATACTGCAAGAGTGCATGGCAAAGCAATTGCACTCGAAGTACTTTAAAAGGTTTCTTGCTCACTCGTTCAGTGGATCGAGTTTGTAATTCATCATAAAATGCAGTAAAATGCAATATAAATTAGGTGTTAAATAGTTACATGTATGTTATATTTATATTTGGTCTTAGTATTGTAATGTAGATTGTAGTTATTACTTAATTCTTTATTTTATTTATTCATTTCAAGTAGTTATTTTATCTGCCCCCCCCAAAAATCACGTGCTGCTGTAATGTGATTATCTACCCTGGGGATCAATAATGTCTAAAATCAAACAATTATTTTTTTAATAAACTTTTTCTTTTGTTGTTGTAACTAACAACCATCCAAAGTGCTCAGATCCTGATTCCTTATGTGTCATCAGTTCTTACATAGTCTGTGGAAATCGCAAAAGATTATGCCATAATTATTATTATGGCATATTATTATGAGGTATGTATTATGAGGGGAGAGTGTATGTGTGTGAAGCTCTAACCATTTTTTATCAATATTTTTATTTATAAATGAAACCATAATTGAGTTATCAAAACTAAAATCAACCTATGTTGCTGAATGGGTTGTTCATTTCCGACTCAGTACAGACTTGCAGAAAGCTAATGCTAATTGAAGACACCTTTGGATGCTTGGTTGTAAACGCAGTTTCTCCAGCTACATGGCTTAAATCTTCACCTGCATTAATCACATTTTTGTGTTGTGCTTCCTCAACAGGCACCATGGCCAATCTAGAGCAGTGGGTGAATGACCGTCTCCATGACATCCTGGGGTTGAGTGACAGATACGTGTCTCAATTCATGATCGGCACCGCACGGAAAGCATCGAGTCCCCAAGACTTTGTGGCCCGCCTTGAGCAGACAGGCACGATTGACATCGAGCCAAGTGTGGTTGCCTTTGCACAAGAGCTTTATGACAAGGTATTTTCTACCGTCAGTCCTTTTGTGGACTTAGCATAGTCGTTAGTTCTTAGTTATCTTAGTTTGTTACATTTTTAGCATGGGACATTTTGGAAGGAATGCATCCTCTAACAGTCTTTCACCACTGCATGTTACAGATTCCTCGCAAGCAGGTTGTTGAGAAACCAGCCCGGGCGATGGAGCGGGAAGCCATCGAAATGGACAGGAAGAATCGGACATACACGCTACTGGAGGACAGCGACAGCGATGGAGACGCTGTGATGGAGAAGCAGAAAGGGAAAAAGAAAAGCAAGGACAAGGACAGAGGGAACAAGAGGAAGCACATCAGACAGAAGAAAGAGAGCGAGTCATCAAGTGAGGACGAAGCACCTAAAAGGTAATCCAGATATTTTGTGTGGATTATATTATGCATGTTTCATATTGTTCGATGCAGTAATAAGTGTTTGTTTATAGTGCATATTGTAGAATGAGATGGGCTGTCTCGTATCATTTACTAGTAACGGTGAGAGCTGAATGATGAGACCATGATTTTCTCATTTATTTCAAGTTTTTCAAATATGTAAAGGCTGTTTCATCCAGACCCTTGTACCAGTTTCTGCAGGGTGGATGGGTGGTCATAGACAACGTTTGTTTACACTCACCCTGTTCATACAGTGCACCATTTCCACGCCAGTGTACACCTGTGGTGGGCCAAGTGGGCAGTCTGCACACCATTTGACAGTTATCATAGCCAACAGATCTGCCAGATCTGCATCTGAAGTTCAGCTGGGAGAGTGACAGTTATGTCACCACGACCACATGGCCCATACATACACAAACAAGTCAAAGGAGATTGATGTGACAGAGGACTGATGAATGTCTTTCAGGCTTTGGAGCTGGTGAATGTGACATCACAAGCCAAACACCTGAGCTAGCTGGTCCTGTAAACTCTTACGCTTATGTGATCTGACCCGTTCACCAAAGTTACATAATAGTGGAGGAACAAGCATTCAGGGCGCAGAGTAGGAATGACAGGGGTACCATTCTTCCTATCACAATTCAGTGGGCCATCACAATGATGCTGGAGCTGTTGTTTTAAGGCAAACAAGTTGCAGAATGTTGTTTTTAACTGTTAATAAAATGATTGAATGAAATCCAAATTTTGTTTTTAATATCAGGGGTAATTTAGGCCAAGGGGATCAAAAGTCTCTCAAGAAAGAAGAAGAAGAGGAGGAGTGGGAGAAGGAAGAGAGAGAACGACAGCAGGACATTGAAGAGAGGGATGCGTTTG